AGCAGGTGCCAGACCTGTCCCAGTGCAGCCAGTCTGACCCAGAGCAGACATGGGAGCTGTGCCCAGGTCAGGGGGATGGGGCTGAAGAGCAAAGGTTAAGTCACCACTAGAGTAGTGACCAGCCAAAAGTAAAAAGTGTTTAAGCAAACAAAAACCCTATTTCTAATCTCCAGTGCCATTGTAACTATCAGTAGTTAAAGCTTCATTCAGTGCAGTGTTCTTTCTCTGTTGCTTGGCTTTCTTTTCAAAATTTGTGTGCTGGAGCTGCACAGTCTGAGGCCTGATGTCTTGTTCCATCAAACCCTGCCTAGAGCAGTAGTTTGCAGCCTATGTTTCCAGTGTGCAGAATCCCACATCTCTGGAAAATGAATCTGTGTTGCTATGTAACCAAATTTATGTCAGTAACAGTAGCTTCCTTTTAGTAACTTGTGGCTTCCTAGTGCTTACTATGTGGTCCATGTGTAGTGGACCACATCTCCCTAGGAACAGGATAAGTGACTTGATGTACTGCATCTGAGTATGCCATCTCTCTATTTTGCTGCCAGCTGCTGTCAACATTACTGGAAACTAATTTAATGAACTGATTTAAAAAGTGATTTGTACCATAATGCCTTTCTCTTTTTCCCTTTCCCAAAGCAACTTGTAACTGTGCTGATTGGAGAATCTCAGAGCAGGGATTTGACATTTTGGATTATACATTTAATTCCTTGAGCACTTTTTCTCTAAGAGCAGCAGTTGCCTGTTGTTGTTTTCCATTTATTAATTGACTCCTGAATGTGTGCACACACACAAGCTAGTCTGCAAGATAAGGATCTGTACAAAGCTTTTCTTCTGCAGAAGGATTACTTGCCTTCCTCTTACCTGGTTAAATCTTCAGAAAGGGAAGAGACTAGTATTTATGATCACACCAGATCTGAGAGAGACACACACTAGCTCAGAGAGAAGGAATCCAAGGAAGCAGTGTTCAGAAGTAAATTGAAGTGACTGTTACAAAGGATTTGTTAAAAACCAATCAAGCTGCTGGCCCAGTCAGAGGCTGTTGCTGCCTGGCTCAGAGGGTGCCACTCGAGTCCTCCATAGCTAACGCTGCAGCGCATGGACATTGGAGCAGGAAGCTTTCCTCTCTGCTGATGTTCAGCTTATGCCCCGCAGCATGTGCTTTGACTCTAGTAGCATTTACACGTAGATTGGACCACTAATAACAAATAGACTTGTGTGTTGTAGTTGTTAATACAAAGCCTCTGTTTCTAATCAGTGCATGGTATTATAGTGCATGCTATGTGTGTTGTCCTCCCAGCTCTTTTATTTACAGTGTACAGCCTCAGGTTTGTTTGCATCTCCACCCTGTCTTGATTTAAGAAAAAACAATAATCTCCAAATGTTTCTAGTTGCTGATAGCCCAACTCCTCCCCCGCCGCCGCCTCCCGATGAGATGCCGATGTTTGATGACTCTCCTCCTCCTCCACCCCCACCACCTGTGGATTATGAGGATGAGGAGGCTGCTGTTGTGCAGTACAGCGATCCCTATGCAGATGGAGATCCTGCTTGGGCACCTAAAAACTACATAGAGAAAGGTAAGAGAAGCATTGCAGCTGTGTTAGCGCAGTATCAGGGGATTAATGGTGTCTGAAGGGAATGAAGGACTTAGCATGGGTCTGATGAAGACAGTCATTGTCCCTCCTAAGTCAGAACTGAAGCCGTGTTTCCTTAGTTTGTGCCTACACCTAATTTGGTAAGACATAGTCCTTCTTTGGACAAATTATAAAATACCTTCAGGCATTCTATAATGGGTGAAAAAGCAAGTTTCTTCACAGGAAGCATCTGTGTAAATCAGATGGCTTTTATCTTTGATGAGCTGGACTGTCTGTACCTACCTCAGGATTGCTGGGCAGTCATCTACAGACTGCTGCAAAATGGACAGAAATTCCAAGCTGGATTTATCTCATCAAACTAGATTACTAGAGTGGATTATTATACTTTGAACTACAAAATGTGTTGAGGTCTCCTTGGAGATTTATCAGTGACTCCAGATCAGCAGACTGTGAGCTGTGCTTAGGTATGAAGTCACGTAGTAAACATCTCTTCCCATAAATAATGGACAAGCAGATTTCCTGCCAGTGGAGTTGTCTGTGTTGTAGCACTGACCATTTTGTCAGCAGCAGTGCTGCCAGTTTTCTCGTAAGCTGGCTGGTGCTGCAGTGAGTACAAAATGGGGCCAGGTACATGTGATATTTGTGGCAGAGCTCCTGTGTTCCCTCTTCACTTCACTGGACTGTGTGCAGGACATACCCATGGGATGAAAATAACTGATGGAGCACAGCATTGCTAGGCATTAAGACATCAGATAGCTGAGAATATATGTAGGTGTAAAATAGTGGATTCTTGGACTTCATAAAGCTGATCAATTGCATAAATCCATATTAACTTTTGAAGGGTAAGGCTGTGATGTCTGAAGTCTGTATATTCACAGTGGTAGTTTTTAACTCCACTATTGGTGGTGGCAACATTCTTTCCTTGGGGAAATCTCTGCTCTGTTCATGGCACACAGTAAGTTGGAGGTTGGGAAGGTAGTACCAAGCAGGTACTGAAAATAGCAGATGTTGCTTCAATACTCTTCTTCAGCAACTTTCCTGCTTGCACTCAGTACATCTCCTTGAAAAGTAGTGCCAGAGCTCATGACATGAAAGCTCTGTAGGAATGCCCATTCATTTCTGTGCAGTGGCTTTAGCAGCAATGTGTGCAAGGCCAACTGATGTGCCAACAGGGGCCTCAGTGGAATGATTTTTGTACAATTTGTTTTAATGAAGAGATTCATATAAAGAGATCCACATGCTATTGAGGTAATCTGGTCAGAAATGGGTACCACACAAGTCAGGTGTTCCCTAACTCAGCTTTTAAGGGTCCATGAGCTCCACTTCACTGTGTCACAGTTGGATGTACTTCTCTGTCAGCAGTTCAACTGAGTGTTCAATGTAGTCAACACCCACTTCTGAGTGCTAGCTAATGTTGCAAGGAAAATGAAATTCCATTTTCTGGGCTTAAGTGTTCAACAGGAAAAGCATGTGAATTCATTATTGAAAACCCCACGACAGCGAACTAATCTTTTAATATTTTCTGAAGTACAATTGCTTTTTAATACTGTTGCTATTAATAAAATGCTAAATGTGTCCCTGTTTATTCCACAGTTGTTGCTATATATGACTATACAAAGGACAAAGATGATGAGCTGTCGTTTATGGAGGGTGCAATCATTTATGTGATAAAGAAGAACGATGACGGCTGGTATGAAGGAGTTTGCAATCGAGTAACTGGCTTGTTTCCTGGGAATTATGTTGAATCAATCATGCACTATGCCGATTAAAATCCTTTGCTTTTCAAAGTTTGGTCTTGTATTCAAGTCATACCATGATTATTTACAAGGGGTAACTAAAAGCTAACAGAATTGTCTTAATATACTTTCAAAAAATTGTGCCCATTTCTTCAGGCCATACTGTTTTAATGGTATGATTGAATGTCCATCTCTGAGTCTCTGAGGACAGTATGTCTTACCTGATGGCAATTTGTAAAACAAGCAACTGTCTATAACTGGTTATACTTATTTACTTATGCATTGTTAATTTTATGACCAGCCTAATTATTATGGGGAAGTAGGGTATAATATTTAATGAACCATGATCAGATTGTGCCATTACATTTTTCAGTACAGCATGGTAACTAACACTACGTTAGACTAACATATTAAAACCTGAATGAGAAGTTTAATGTTAGTGCTGGTCATATTACTTTTTGTTTAGACTCTTTGCTCATTCTTGAATTATATTTGTTTAAAGCATGCATACAAACTTATGTATTGAAATATACTTTTTTAAAAATCCAAGATGCTTCCAATTGTTGTAATCTTTACCTGGAGTATTCTCACTAAAGTCTATTACAATGAGTTGTTTGGGTCTAAGGTGTCCATGTGATTCAAAAAATGGGTGGTCTTCTGTATGTGTAATTTGTACCCAAGTTTTTTTAATGAGTAAATTTACATTATGACTTTTTCCATTCATAAATATATAAGTGAACCAAAGGTCTTGTCCATTACTTTGTTGGTTGGCTTGGCAAAGAAGTTTGGAATGCTAACGTAGCAAAATCATGGCTGTGTTATCCCAGGCAATGTACTAAAAAGCTAATGTGTGTAACATGACTTTATCACTGACAGAGGGAAAATAAATTAGATCTGAAACCTGAATTACACACTTATACATACTCTTAAAAGTTCTTTTCTGCCAACACTTAGTTTCTGTGAGGGTTCTTGATTGAATCTAATTACCTGGATGCAGTAAGCTGGACACCATCTGTAGCTGACAGTTCTGTGTGGCTCTGGGAGATGCCCCATGGAGCAGAGGGAGCAGGAGCAGGCTGTCCTCTAGATAGCACCCAGGGGGACACAGTGACAGGAACTTGGCCTTTATTTAGGGATCACAGGCAGAGATAGCCAGGGAGGGTGTGCTTCCCTGTGCTACAGATTCTGTGGCTGAAATAACCTGAGAAGGAATGTGGTAGTACTGGGTAATTACTGTGAGAGGAATGTGTCTGGGACTTCAAAGGCAGCTTCTAGGGTGCTACAGAATATATTCTATAAATGAGTGATGAAAGTGATGGAGTTGCAGGTTTGACTGGCTGGTGAATGATTCATTTTTAGAGTTAGAAATACTGAGCCTTTCATTTTCTGAACAAAAACATTCATTTGATACCAGTCTCAAATTCTGCATCATGTTAATTGCTAGCAGGTAGCCACCAATAGCATGAATTGAGCTCACGGATGAATAACCAATTAAAATCCACATGTAGTCTTTTACAGTAAACCAGTATCTATCTCTTATCTATATACAATTCCAGGTGCTTCTGTTAAGTAGCCAGGGAAACATCCAAACCCTCTCCCTTCAGAGGAGTTTACCAGCTCCTTTACATGCATGCTCTCTTTATTAGTGTAAACAAGTGAAATTTGGAACAGCTTCCATTTTCATACACTGATTTATATTTATTCTCATTGTGGCCTTTGTGCATCAACATGTAAACATCTTCCCCATCCCCCACAATCAATAGCCCCCACTAAAACAATTGTACAGCACAGTTTGATTTGCTCTGACTTGCATGGCTTCCTGCAGTAAAACACTTTAAACTTTTGTTTTAAAAAAAAAGAAAGTAAAACTTTCAAAAAAAAAAGAGGTTTTTTTTTTAAAAAAATAATTTTTGGTAGCTTGTGTTGGAAGCAAATAACTTTTGAAATAAATGTAGGCACAGTCTGGTAAAGTAGCTGCCAGAAGGAGTGGAAGGAGGTCCCTCACTTGTCGCGCGTGAGCACCATCTCTGTCAGGTGCACCAGGGCCTCTCTCTCGGGGGACGGCCGCAGCTTGCGGATCTCGCGCGTGGCCGCGTGGCAGTAGCGCTGGGCGAGGTAGGTGGTCTGCTGCACACCATCACTCTGAGGGGAGACAGGGAGGAAACGGGCAACTCATCAGCCTCCTGCTGCCTCTGCCAGTTCTAAGTCACAGTTCTAAGGTCAGTAAGTACCCTAATACATTACATTCTGATGGGGAAAGGAAGAGGATTCATTCTGTAATCCACCTACCTGCCCCACAAACTGTCCAAGTACTAAAACTGATCCATGCTAAAACAGCAACTCATCCACTACAAAACAGCATTGGTATTAACAACAAAGTAGAAACTAATGCTTTATACCTTCCCCTCCTGCTCTAAATAGAAATGTACAAAACCCCCATGCTATTCTGAAAAATAGGTAATAATTTTGCACAGACCACTGCTTGGTCTTTTTAGACCAGAGTAATTTAGAACTGGTGTAGGGTGTGCACTGCTATTACAAGACTGACTTGGAAATTACATGCCATTTATACCAGCTGTTGAATACAGCTATACCTCAGCTGAAAGAACGGAGGTCATGCATGAGCTTTTTACTTATTATGTGGCTTTTATGCTATTGGAGGGAAAAAAGAAAAAAAGTTCTTCAGTACCTAGCATTTCTGCTAAAACACTGTGCCAGTAGGAGAGCTGAGGAATTTTGACCTGGCATTGTACGCTGCATGCTACTCAGAATCTATTTGCCAATGCAGCCTTGCTATTTTACTTGAGAGGCAATGCATTTCAGACTGAGCAGCAGGGAGAGCAGAACTATTTTATATCAGTCTTACCTGCAACACATATTTCCATGCACGTTCAACATCTCCTGGCTTACTGAATCTCCTCATTATCATAGCATTCATTTCTGGAAACTAAGCACAAAGGGAGAAGGGTTTGTACTTGCTTTTGAGTTGTTTTCCACGTAGCTGCCTGCCATGCTAAGGTAAGAACACCACCAAAGTGCAGCCCTCTTCACTGTTGTTGCTACAGGTGTAGCTTGAGGTTTGTACGTGCAGTGTGCACAGGACTGGAGTATAGCAGAGCCCAAGCATTTAAAACTTAAACCTGGCTCTGGCTGTGCTGGCTGTAGCCAGTTGGTAGCAGAAACACCTGCCATTTTATCATGTTAAGCAGATGTTCCAGTGTGGTAACTTCTGATGTGGTTACTACCTGGTGTATAATCTGCATCAGATACTCTATCACAGATAATGGTTACTGTTGGCACTCCTAGAAGAAGCACCTCTGTCCCCCCACAGGTACAAAAGAATGCAGGATGTTGGTTGTTGCAATATTGTACGGTTCAACTTGTAAAATCCCCTCATGGTAACACTGGCTGTTACATTCTCTTACATTTTCCATTGTACTGCTATTTTATATACACAGATTTATTTTTTTTTTAGTGAGAGAAAAATGACAACTATATGGTATTTTGTTTTCAGTTATGTAGCATTTACAGTTAGCACTGCATGCTCAATTCCCTACAAATCAAGCAGGTAACTCAAGTCAGTTGTTTTTAGAAAAATCACATCACTTAGGTAAATATGCAGCCATCTTCAGACAGCCTAGAAACAGAAAAACCTAGAGCTTAACAAAAAAAGCTACAACTCAGGGCAGCTACTCCACGGAAGAATTCTTTTTAAGGGACAGAGCTGTTTGTTTATCTTGCCTGAAAGGATTAGAGTCAAACAAAGATGATTTTATTGCCATATATTTGTAAACAGTGATCTGCTTTCCTTGCACACCTTTGGTCCTGCAACTGCAGCTTTACAGCCTTGTTCAGGTACTAACACATAGCACCCATCAGTGCTGTGACAGTCTCCTATTACTCATACACAGTCTTGGAGATGCATTCAGAAGTTCAGTGATGACTCATACTTTATCTAAAAGAAGAAAGTCATGGCTTTTTCTAGATCCTAGGCAATGACAATTTAATTGCAGTGTTCATGCAATCAGTTTTCACATTATTCATATTTACAGTTATATAGAATGCATATGGGATCACTTTTTTATTTAAGCACTAAAGGACATGAGAACCCCAAACTTGTAAGGCAGAGCTGTTATTAGCAATTCTGCATATTTAGTGGGCAGCACGTCAGCATTTAACAGGAATGCTTATAATAAAAATAAACCTTCATTCTTCAGCTGTACTTGTTTAAGAGGAGCTTTAGAATTAGCATACACTAGTGTATTTTCTTTAAAAATAAATGGGGTGGTGATTTTTTTTTACTAAGAGAGCTAAGTTTAAATACTGAATAAACAGGTACTATATCAAGGTAAACATTTTTACTCCTTAATATTCTAATGCACAAAGGTGTATTTCAGAGGGAGGGGAGAGGACAGGAAGAAAAGGCATCTGCCACTGAAGATCCAGAGCACATGAAAAAGTAACGAATGTTTGTCAGGAAGACAACTCGAGGAGTACCAACTTCATGAAAGGATAGCAGCAATATTATGAAAAGACAGCCTATAATTAATAATTACACTTTGCACTGTCTTCAGGTCCTGGCTCGTGAGGTTTTTTCTCAGACACAAATGTATGAAATATCTTTTAGTAGCATCACAAGTGTCTGTTGAAGCTCTGCATTTTTTTAGCACTCATGCTTTGTTTTTATCAGTTAAGTCTGTAGTGCTGTTGTTCCAGATTCTTGAAAACAGCAGGACATTTGCAACAAAGAAGCCTTTTGGTTAATGCAGAAAATTTTATAAGATGGTCAAGTTATCTTTCAATGCAAAAATGTACACTTCCCATCTATCAAAGATATAAATGAGGAAAAGCATTTAAAAGTGGCATACAAAGAGCAAGATTTTAAAATAGGACTGACAGGTTTTGTTTTCTTTTATTTCTATATTATGAACTAATCTTGTAAAGCTAATTAAAAGAGAGATGAAGTTCAAAGTCAGAGACAGACAACCCAAACAAATTAATAACGAAGTTTTAATTTAAAAATTGGAATATTCAACACCCACAAGACAATCAATGTCACCCATTCTCTGCCAAAACTGGGTATTTGCGACATGCCTTGTTTCCTTCTGCACATGGCTTTAGCACACACAAAAACAGTTTTACAACTCCATTCTCCCTCTCTACCTGAGTGCCTCACTGTTCTTTGGACAGCTCCAATTGCCTATGACACAATTCTGAAATAATGATTCAAGAACATCTTTGTGAATCCCTCAGATGAGTATGGGGAGACGCTGAGGACACAGAGAAGGTTGTTCTCAATGTGCATTCACCTGCTTTGTCAGCTGGCTGATACTCTGTGCTCCCGTCTTTCCTGAGTTACAGATCCTTGGAAATGCCCAAAGGATAAGGAAGCAAACAGATATGTATGCTCCACCTTCCCCCACAACAGTCTCTTTTAAAGGGGGAAGTAAATGTCAAAGTTGTTGGGTCTTTTTAAATGATTTAGAACTTTTCCCATGTCAAGCTCTAAGCAATTCCACTGAGGGATCATAGATGAGAGCTCTGCTGGAACTAATTGTTCCAGCTTTTATATCACACTGTGAAGCCTGGTAGGAAAGACTGCTTTTTAAGCCCCAAATCTGCTTGCCTCTGATGAACAAGACACTGGAGCAAGGAATTAAACCTGATTCTTTCCTGTTTATGGATTAGCACTAATTTTAATGTTTTTTTCATGCTGCTCACAATTCTGTTTTTGTTTTGCTCCTCCAAGTAATTTTTAAGGCACTGAAAATCTTGACCAATTTTAAGCTTGTTTTATTTATGACATTCCCTTTTCTCTTACCCAACCTTCAGACAGGAAACCTACTCATATTTGTAAATGGATAATACTTGAAGACAACGAGATGAAAAGATCAAATCCAATAAATAAAGGTACCCACCTAAACAGCAGCCAAGAAGCCTTGTGGTTAATGCAGAAAACTATAAGATGGTCAAGTTACCTTTCAATGCAAAAATGTACATTTCCCAAGGCAGGGATTTCAGTTCTTGGCATCAGATGGATACAAAGCCCAGAAAAGGCAAAAAAGCCTACATACACAGTCAAGCCTGGGAAGACGATGTCTCAGGAGAAAACAAGCAAGAAACTACTCAGGAATAACCTACACCAAATGTGCTAAAACTCTCTGAATACCTACAAGAGCCTAACAGTAAGCAGAGCTGTGCAGGAAGGTGTTTCTTGTAACTTGTGTTTGCACAGAATCCATCTGATACTGAACCCACTGATTTGTCACATGTGCCCAGGCCACTCTCACCACTGACACTGGAGATTTGATGTGTTTCAGCTGCTCCTGTGAGGAGCAGTTTACACTTTTTATTTTGAGCAGACAGACTTACCTGTCTACAGGCAAACAAGACGGGGCCTGTGGCCAATCCAAGCTTGAGATCTGCTGCTGTTGGTTTCCCCAGATGGTCAGCACACGATGTAAAATCCAGCACATCATCTATCAGCTGGAAAAAATAAACATACAGATTGTTTAAAATTTCGTTTTAAAATATTAGCGCGAAATACAGAATAATCCTTGTTAAAGACAAGATTTGTAGGAAGGATTAAGACAGCCCACTTTGATTTCTAAAGCACTTTTGAGAAGTTTAGATTTTAGATTCCATTTAGTTCAATAGAAACACTACCTGAAAAGCTATGCCAACGTTTTTTCCATACTGGTATGCAATCTCATGAACTTTGGGATCAGGGCAGCCTAGAATTGAAACCTGAAAAGACAAAAACCCCAAGTAAATAAAAAGCTTTAGTTAGCATCCACTTTTAGCCCCTGATCACAGGTGTGATACACCCAGCACAGCCTGGAGGGATCTGGGAAAGGCAAAAAAAGCTGATTTGGGCACATTCTGGCTTATCTCAGTTCATGGAGACACACAACTAGCCAAGCTTACCAGAAAACAAGGCTGAACAGCAGTGCAGTATTAAAACTACATTCACATCTGCAAAGAGATTAGCTTCATTAAATATTTATCAGGCTTAGAAATTACAATGCAAGGATAAAGAGAGAAGAAATGTGGATGCACTTCACATGCAGTGTATTAGTTGTATAGAGTCCAGTGATGGGGAAATTAAGCTAATTACATACATAAATCAGCCAGGGGATAATTGGAGGTCAGACAACAGATAAATGGACATTACATGTCTCATAGAAGATCACAAAGCTGGATGTGCTGAACGCAGTACAGCAGGGGCAGTTGACATAAGGATGATTATTTTTAAGGTGATGTTAACTGTATCTGACTTGCTCAGGAAGATGACTTGATTAGCCTGCAGGCAAAGCTACTGAGGGATAATTAGTGGCAAAGAAAAGATAGCAAATGAAGAAAGCACACCAAGCTCACAAAGATATCACTAAACTGAGATAAACAAAACATTTTACATGAATGTGCAATCAACTACTTGAGAGACAGAAATTTTGCTGAATAAACTCCACAAAACTAAAATACAGGATATTCACTAAGGTTTGAAAATTAATATCTTGCCTCAAAGTAAGGGCATTTATGCTTTTTACATTTAGGTACTGATTATACATTTTGCAAAATGAGGTTGGTTAAATACTCAGATTTATTTCAACCTTCAATAAACCAATTGGAACAGGGGACAAAAATCCACCCTGGTTTATTGCAGGCATTCCAGATCTGCTGTGACCAATGCAAGGAGTGAAGGTACATTTTACTTAAGACTAAAAATATATGCCAGGAAAACACAATATAAAAACAAGTGTGTGTGTGTGTGTGTATGTATGTTTGTATATGTATTCCTCTTTAAGACTGAGCAAGGTAGGATCATAAAAAGCCCCTCCAACCCCAAAACCAACCCCAAACTAAAAGCAAGTCCAGCAGTAGCTTAGAAGGTGAATGTGAAGATGGAAATAAGAAACAACATTATATCCTAATAAATGTGATGCAACTTGCACAAAATGAGAGATGATTTCATGCAACAGTGCACTTCATATCTGAGCCTCAGAACACTTCCCAGTCATAACCTGCATCTGTGGATAATAACTAAACCCCAGAGGAATCTGGATGACTGAGAAATTAACAGCATCATACATTCTCCACTTTTATTTAAAAGAGGAGGACAGTATAGCAGGAAAATAATGCTACTTATCTCTAATAACCATACAAAATCCTGAAGGCTATTAAACGGAGTGAACTGCAAATCTTAGATATTTAAAGAATGTTGCTAGGGTCTATCAAAGGAGAACATTTTGCCTTTTTATCCTGCTTTTGATGTTTGTCTCTTAAATAGCAGTATTTGCCTGAAGACCTGACATCTACTGCTGTACCATGCAAACTTTTGGTTGCTTCTGTAATATGAATCACATAATACCAGCATGGCAGGGGGACTGCATCTACCCTGTTCCAATGAAATCCTTACCTACCTCCACATTTCATTCCATGTGGAGAATTAAAATTAAAATTCAGTGACAAAAACCTGGTTAATGGCAAAGGGTCAGAGTGGGCAGAGGGTGGGAGGAAGTGCTGTGTAAAGAGAAGAACTTCCTCATTTAACCTGAAAGGTCAATTCTTGTTCATAGACAAAAAAAAAAAAATTAAAAATTCAGGAGATTTGTTTTGCCAGTCATCTTCAAGTGAGCAACCCTCTGACCATGACCACATTAATAAACCTGCAGTTGGGTTGTGTCTATCAGGGAGTTCCTTCAGGATACAATTTCTCAAACTGCTCTGGTAGATTGTTGCCCCCAGCTGGACACTGGCCGGGCTGCAGCCAGGCAGCCTGTCACTCCCACACGGAATTTAACTGGAGCTGTACTGGGATAATGTTCTGGGATAATACCCACATTTGCAAATACAAATCAGGATAACCAAGTCAATACAGTGATGTGCGTTTAAATGATAAAACTCCCCCTTTGAAAACAGCCTAGAGCTCCCCAAGTAGGTATGACTGGTTCATGACAAATTTAATCTTGCAAGAATTCAGGCCTGTCCTCCACTAAATCATGCTGAAAAATCCTTCCTAATACCTTATTTGTTCCTAAGTGGAACAAGTTCATTAGGAAAGTTCTTTGAATTCAGAAAAGCAGGACAATCTCCTTGGTGTTATTTCAAACACACTTTAAAAAAAAAAAAAAGTTGTTTCTGTTATGTTATATGACAGACTATAAACCAATTTTGCCTCTTTACTGAATTTCACATCCATAAAATACATCATCAGCTCTGGGTAGATACATCCTGCTCTGATATTTAATATGTGACAATATGGCAGCTGGAGTTGAAAGCATTTGCACATCTCTGCCAGTGCTCTATAGGTCAGAGAGGAAAACCTGATGCTGGGCCAGAATTTGCTTTAATAAACACTGTAAGAGATGTTTGTTCTTCTAATCCTAGATTTGTGGAGTCCATGGAAAGGAAAAGGCTCTAAAATCTTTCCCTTTTCCAGCCATTCTCCTCCATGCCCATCTCCAGAAGCAGTCAGGTTCCTGCCTTCTCATTCCTGGCTCATCCACCACTGTTTTTCTAGACAGGAGCAATGTTCCTCTTTCCAGGAGAATCACAGAATAGTTTAGCTTGGAAGGAAACTCTGAAAGTCATCTGCTCAAAGGAGAGTTTACTTCACAGTTAGATCAGGTTTCTGTGTCCAGATTTCTGATTTCTGAGAATCTCCAAGGATGTAAAATCTCACTCTGTCTCAGCTACTTGTTGCAATGTTTGACCAACCTCATGGGGAAATTTTTCCTCAAACCTAACTGAATTTTTCCACAGCACAACTGGTCCTTTCACTGCACATTTCTCCATCCTCTCTATGCCCTCCAATTACAAGCTGCAGACAGCAGGATTCCCCCTTTGTCTTCCCTACTCCAGACTCCAATCAGCTCTTGGCACATTGCTCCAGCCTCTGCCCTCGTGGTGGCCCTTCACTGCACTCCCTGCAGAGTGCCCACGTGTGTCCTGTGTGTGCTCTCACAGCCACTGCCCTGGCTGCCCTCTCCCCATGCTCGTCCTCCACTGCTGCTGGGAGTGCCACCGACTTCTCCAGGCTCCTCAAACCCTCCTGGGAACTACTCTTGAGGAAGGGGTGATGGAGGCCTCCCTGCAAGAGGGAGATGTCTTGACTCAAGACAAGGCAGACAACTATCTTGTCCTGAGTCTGCATTTTCATGCATTTGACCTTTTCTCAAGTAATTAATATTTTAACAGGTTAACCAAGTACTTGTTTATGCAGAGTTGTACTCTTCAGTAGCAAAGATTATCTGCCTGAATATATGTGATATACCTTTTTCACAGCAAAAGAAATACCCCCAAAGGACTTACTGTATTTTAAAAAATAAGTAAGGAGATCATAATATCTGATACTACTGTGCTATTACCCTACATCTGCCATTGGACATTATTGCAGCCTGCAGGCTTAGCTGGGCTGGGGGGATTCAGTTCTGCTGGTGGGAGTCAGAGGTTTTCTTTTCCTAGGCACCACTTCCAGTGCTGCTAGGGTTTTCTGATGGAGCCCTGTGCACACACTAAACTAGGAACTGGTTACGCAGGAGCTCACAGGAAGATCCAGAGCTTTAGGATACTGGTTTCTTCAGTCCCTTCCACAGCCCTGCCTTACACAAGGAGGCACAAGCTTCCTCCTAATATGGAAATCAAGAATCTCTAGTGCACCCTTACACTCAAAGCAAGCAGGATTTAATCCCTCATCTGAAAGTATACCATGCAAAATATAAATAGCTTTATGAGGCTCAGGAATTCACATTATGGCAGGATTTAAAAAAGACAGAAAACCTGCTCAGGTTATTTTGCTATCTCCAGCTGGCCGGATGACTAAACAGAAATTCCACTCCAGCTTTATTGTTTCTGAATTCTTGAACTAAAGTCACCTCATGTTTCTCTGAAAAATGCCTTGCAGTAACTAAGGCTTCAATGACCCTGGGCCATCTGCCACTGCTTCCTTTTAAAATGCACTTTAATTGAAACTTTGGTAACATTCCCCCATGCAGAACTATTGTAGAAATAAACTGGAGACTGGGATGGCTCTTAACATCTTGAACAGACTGTTCTCTCCCCAAGTCCTAACTTAAAGAATTTTGATTTAAATGCAGTAATGCTTTGGTGGTACAGAATGTATCAATTACAGAGTATATCTTGTTTAGACCTTTTTGCAGGAATACTCTCCTCTTCCATTTCTAAAGCGTGGCACCATGGAATGCTAAGGTGCCACCTGAACTTTTTTGACATCTTTCCAATTAATACTTGAATTTATTCACTCACAGCAACTAATCAGGTTTTTCCTATCATTAACAGGAACAGAACTGCTTCTAAAACCCATCTCCTCTTAGTTTTGTCCCTGAAAACAAGATATGAATACTCTTGATTCCCTAACTGAATTTCCTTTCAAGACAGAACTGATGATCCTGCTTATCATTTTTGCTACAGAAAACAGAACTCCCTTCTGATTCCATTTCTTCAGTAGCCAAAGCCATCTAAATGAAAATATCTCAAAACCCACATGCAACAAAAAAACCCCAAATCCCAAGAAACCACCAAACCTCTTTTAACTGCTATCAACAGAGCTCTCCTAATCCATACAGAAAGAAACTGAGGGAAACATACATATTCAACTCATTGATGCTATGTGCAGCAATAAGGATTTGCCGTGAAGAGAAACCTTCTCTCTTGGTTTTCCTTTCTAACACAAATTTTACAGCATATAAAATTCCAGCAGTTCAGCAATGGAACAGCTCAGACCAGCCACTAGAAGAAAAGCAGCCAAACACCCCCTTGACCAGCATCACAGCCTCAGTCTTGAGGGAAGTGCTTAAATCCTTAACTCTTGCAAGTCGTGAAAAGGAAAAAGCTTAAATTAGCACATCTGTAGGGAGAATCCACCCAGTGGGAATGTGATTTCTTCCATCATCTGCAAAGATTCTTTTAGGCAGACTGTCAAAATGAATATTAAACCTGTGTATGTTTTTTCTGTGGGAGCAGAATAATGTGATGCTCTTTACTAGTCTAGGTGCCTACTGATACAAAACAAGACTTGCAAAAGAAAATTATCAGGATCATATTGTTGTTAATATGAGCAATCCAGAAGACTTCACTTCTTTCCTCCAGCTAGAATAAAAGGTATTTTCCCTCTCCCGAAATCCATGTGTCTCATTCTACGTGATCATTTGGATATAAGCAATTTTCAACTGCTGTCTGTTGCACAAATGCACCAGTCCCCTGAGAACAAAGGAAGATGATTAACACTAGCACAGATTTTTAGTCTAATTCTCTTAAAATTCCCACTTGCTATAGAATCCATTAGCTATACTGCCTTTCACAAAAAAGAATAAACAAAACTCTTTTGGGGCGAGATTATTACCCACCTCTATTTTCTGCACTTAAACTGAACATCTACTTTTGTGTAAGAATATAATCTTGAATTGGATCTTTTTGTAATGAAGTAAGAGAACTGAGTGACAGGGTTGGATAAAGTAATTGGTAATTAAACCCCAGGACAAATCAAGTACATGCTTCTGGTTTTCTACAATGTGATGTAGAGATACCAGGAAAATGTTTTCACCCAGAAGGGTGGCTGGGCACTGGAAAAGGCTCCCCAGGGAAGTGGTCACAGCACCAAACCTGACAGAATTCAATTAGTGTTTGGACAATGCTCTCAGCACAGGGAGTGACTCTTGGGGTGTCCCATGCAGGGACAGGAGTTGGACTTGATAATCCTGATGGGCCCCTTCCAATGCAGCCCACTCTCTGATTCTATGAATTAATTATTTCCTCCCACTGTTACCACTTACGGTCTCCCTCAGCACCAATGAGTTGGGCCAGATTGTCAAAGAAGTCTTAAAATCAAATTATAGGCTCAAAAATGATAAACTGAGTTTAAAACCACTGTCTCAAAGTTCCAGAATTTCATAAATTGAATATTGTCACTGTTATGATTATTTGAACCTCATTTTGATTCAATTGAGAATGACAATAAATCTGTGTAAAAATAAAAAACGCAAAGAAAAAGTGAAAACCAATATTGGAGGCTACACAGCTGAACTGTGATAAAATTCACAATCTCAAACCCATTCACATTCTGGCAGAATACCCTTCCAAGGTTTTGCTTTGGAGGGTCTCCAGAGCAAACAGCAACGCTAGTTTAGCTGTGAAGCTTACAGTATGGTATGTTAACTTCAGAAGAGACAGACGTACATACTGCTTTACAACTGTTTGCTATCAGACTCGCCGTCTTCTTAAAAGTCTTCTCGAGGTAGTGAGCAAATCTCTCATTCTCGTTTTCCTTGGAACCCAGCTGGAGGAATTCACCTAAAAAGTTGCACAGATGGGAGGTTTTATTTGTGGGTTTACTGCTTAGGCAAGCAAATTGGAAGATAAAAATAGGAAAAAGCCTTACCACGCACCAGATCTTCAATCACCTGAGTTAGAACTGAGATGATAGTGGTATTTCCAATTCGTGCTAAAGCTACAGAAGCAGCTGAGAGGATGAAGTCGCCAGCTAGAACAGCCTAACAACAACAACAACAAGAAAGGGATCCCTTAAGTCTTCTTCTGTGTTACTAGAGATGGTACAATTTCCTTTAATTGTCAGATCTACTCACATTACAAAACTTTCCTACAAAAAGTACAATATCTCGTTTTAAGAGCAAAAAAATACATAGCCAAATATTGAAATCTGAGTAATTTTTGAATCCCAATCATATAGTATCATTTCTGTATAAGCAATGTCCCCCCTGTATGCAGTACGTGTTTGCTTATGAAGTTTTTTTGAACATTAGCTCTCTATTTGACCGTTCTCTTGAGGCTGTTACACCATGTGAACTCTGAATTGCCCCAAGTTCCTTCCTTGTATTTTCTGGTGAAGGCCTTTCTTGTAATGCTCTGTGAAGAAAACACCAATTTAAAAGAAAAATAGTTTCCCACTGACTGAAAACATTTTTGTGTCACCACTGAATCAGCATTCAGGATGAGGTAAAAATTTAAAGTATTTCAACAGTACTGCAGAGAATGGCACAGGGAATGAAAAATCAGTAATAACCACAGAATGGGCCAGGTTGGAAGGGGCCACAGTGGTCATCTGGTCCAACCTCCCTGCTCAAGCAGGGTCATCCCAGAGCAAATGGCACAGGATTGCATCCAGATGATTCTTGAATCTCTCCAGTGAGGGAGACTCCAAAGCCTCTCTGGGAAATCTGTTCACATTCAGGGGGAACTTCCTGTGCATCAGTTTTTGCCCACTGCCTCTTGTCCCATTTCTTGAGAAGAGTCTGGATCTTCCTGACACTGCTTTCAGACACTTACGACAAGGGCCCCTCTCAGCTGTCTCTTCTGGAGGCTGAACAGGTCCAACACCAACACACTTCAATCATTTATTATCTAATGCTTCCAACAGTTCAGAAAAGGAAAACACATTTGTCTCACCCACAAACTGTGCACACCTCTTTATGTTTTCTGACATTTTCCAAGACCTAGCCACAGTAATGTTACAAACCCCTAGGTATTTGTGCTCTGCTGAAATTCAAAGGCAAGTCTTGCACGTATTAGCAAACTCACTTTCCTTTCTCCCCAGATTTGATTAAGTGTCCTTTTTCCTCTGCGAGAATTTGCATCATCAATGACATCATCATGAACTAGACTGGCTGTATGGATCATCTCAGCAATTATGGCCACAGAGCGCTGGCTTGCTTGCACCTCCCTAAAATAAAAAAAACAAGAACTGTCAAATAATTAAATCAATTATATATGCTGCAATACACTACAAAATCTCTATTAAAAACCAAACAAAAAAATGTTCCTGTGAAAACAGCTGTCACAGCTTTTTCCTGGTATGACCCCCTTCTTTCAAACCTGGAATTAGGAAGACAAGAGAAAGTAAGATCACATTAGTACAGTAAGTGCAGAGGGATGAGTCCATCCTCATTAGGCCTATTTCTATATTGCTGCATTAACAGTACTGCAAAACTCCTGTGTTATTGACTTTAATCCCTCTAAATCCAGAATGCAATAAATAGCACAGCATCAAGGATGCTTGGCTCCAAGACTGAAGTCTGGAAAACAGCAGAGAAAAGAATGCCAGGTAGCTCTGTAGATGAGATTTAAGTTTTCCTGATCTCTGTTGCTCTACCTATAAATGTGGCATCACAAACTCTCTACAGCTGGATAACTCTACAAAGCAGCAAGCTGGAGAGAGATCAGAAGGAACAGAAACCTGCATTCTACATTTGAAAGACATCACTCATAGATCTTATCCTTTATGTTATCTGATTACCTTAAAACCCCAGAGGTTCTTCAGAAGCCTGAGGAATTAACTAGAACTCTACTGCAACCACTTTAGGAGTGTAAACACCAACTACCTAACACTTATTGGAACTCAGCCTTTGGAAAGATCTAACACTGATGATTCAACTCTCAGTAGTTCACACTACTTTTTTTTTTTAAACTAGGTGAAAAAAAGGTAAGGGAAGAACACAGAAGCAATTATCTAGAGAACAAAACTGGCAAAAAACACATAAAAGAGCCAACCTAGCTCACACAAAGGACCCTTGGTATCCAGCTTCCACTGTCATCTCCTGCTATTTTTCTGTTTTCAACATGGGTTACATGCAGGATCCCAGAAATGGCTATCCCAGTCAGCCTTGCCTCATAGGTGTAACAAGTCCACATGGACATTTAAAATACCCCACACACAAAACAATAACACAAGAAGCCCCAAAACAATGCAAGAAAGAAACTACTTCTCATATATAAATACTGTACTTCTGATATACAGACAATAGAGAAAATCATACTGTTTTACAGAAGAACAGAAAAAGAACTGAAACAGAAGATAATTTCAGCTCAGCTAAGGGAATTTAAAGCTTTCTTGAACTGCCTATGTCCTTTAAAATGTAGTGATTAATCACAAAATGAAAGAACATATTGCAGTCTGCTGACATAACCCTGCATTATGACACCTACCTCTACACAGAATTCTGCACTGCTGTCAGTGGGAGTTCTACATCCTGAATAATAGCAGGATGAATGGGTAGCTCATAGGCTGTGAAAATATGGCTTTTACACAACAGAAAATTAGAGCTGGAAACCTTCATGGTTGTTTGGAGGCAAGTCTTTATGTGGACTAGTGATTTAATCAAATGATAGTTCAGTGTAAATAGTTTTCCAAAATAAACTACTCTTACTAAGTAGGAGAAAACTTACCTTCAAAAAACTGTAAAGGTCTCCAGCCTCTTTCATGCACTGTTCTCCTTTTGGGGATTCCCTTTTTCATTAATTATGTCAGCAGACTGGATTTCCTGCTGGGAAGCAGCAGCAAATGGCAACACTCACTGACACACTGAAATATTTCAGTAGTATGAAGACAGCACAAAACCAGTTATTTCAAAAGCAGGTTCTGAAAAGTTCTGCATTATACTCTATCTTATCTCTGACAATGACTAAAAATGGCATAGGAATGTTCATGGTTTCCAGAATGTTGTATCAAATGTGACAATTTAATCTGAAGGAGTTTTAAAACTACTATTTCCACAAAGTCTCAAGCAAGGTTCTTCCCACTGCTGGCAAAAAAAAAAAAGTTCTGCAATAGTTTCCTACATGTATCTTGTGAGACTAATTCTAGATCTGAGCATGCCTATTTTAGAGGAAGACACACAAACCCCAGGATCCTTCTCATCCCCTGCCATTTTTCACTCAGCTTCTCCTGCAAAACAAAAGCAAAAAGTGGCAGTAACTCAACAGGTAACAGCAAATCCAGTAAGTGGAAAGATGCCATTTTTAGGTCATTCTCAAAGTAAATATACCCTGAGATTATGTATATTTACAGGTATTTTATACAACTAATCATGTTCTGTTTTTCAGTAGGACCTCCTGCTTGATTCAATGATAAGGTTTTATAGATCTACTGTACCCTGAGATGTTTTCCATTACAGAATTTGTTTCATGAACACTGAACAAGCCAAGGCTGACCATACAGGTTAAGAAACCCCAAATGTCTCCCTCCAAATATCCCTGTCCAAAACCAAAACAAACACAAAACAAACAACCAAAACCACCCAACAACGGTGAGGGGTGAACTCAAAACCACACAAACCAGTATTTACACTCTCCAACAAAAAGCCTGGAGGCAATGTGCTTGCACTAAGTAAATACTGCCGGTTTAAGGACAGGAAATGAGCATAAGAACTTGCAAAACTGTTGTGCTGTGGTCACAGTCCTTCAAGCATCTTTCTCCTGCTAAGGCCCTGTGGCTGAAAGATGCAACCATCTCAGAAACAGAGTCTGTGACACAGAAGGGCCCTGCAAACCAGGGGAAGCACAGAGACTGCAAGTGCTAACACCAGAGGAAACTGCAGAGCAGCTGACACCAGGGCTTTGGACAATGGCAGTTTGGAGGAGTGAAACAAAAGGGAACTAAGGTTGTTGGCAGGTTCTATCTTTAGGAAATGTTCCATCAAGTTCAGCCATGTCATTTTATTTGTTTCTCACACTATTCTGATTAATTTATTTCGCTTCCCCACTCCCCTCCCCATAATTTTGTGCTCACTCTTTCACCTATTATCATTGTATTTCTCTAGCCCTCTCTTATCTGCATCTCTCTTTTTGGCTGTAGGAAAATAAATAAAAACTCTCATTTGCAAACACCTTTAGAGAATAGAGAAACACTAGGCACTGTCAGGCTAAGTGATAATTCTGTGAAGTTCTTCACACAGGCATGTGAAGAAATCTAGCAGTGGATGTGTGAAATTGAGGGTTTGCATGATCCCAGCTTAAACTATTTACAATTCTTACTCTCACACAAAGCAAAGTTGCTATCAATAAGCAAAACGCCACTGCTCAAGGGACTTAAAGACTCAGGGTAGGACTTGGGACACTTAAAACTTCAAGAGAAGTGAAACAACACACTCCAGTCACTTTTCTTTTTGGTAGTAATTCAGGTAATTATTGATACAAACTGTCATTTTCCTTATTATGCCATTTCCTTATTATTATCACAATAAAGTGACTTCACTCTAGAAAAACAGTTAATCTGCTGAAGGTATAGTAAATACTTCACCTCATTCAAACCTAAACATAAATGATCAATGTCGCCTAACCTGCAAGCAAAGCCACCTGGCCATTCCATTCTCCTGAGAAATCTCAGCTGTTCTGGAGAAGAGAAAGAGGTCTCTTAGGACTGCCTTGTAAGACCAGGACCTGTAGCCTTCCTTAAATTGTTATTTTAACAGCCAAATAAGGAAAATTATTACCTTGTATACAAAAATTGCAGAAAAGAAGAAAAGAAAACGAAGAAGCAGGCAAAAGCATGCTGGGTCCAGCAGGTTATATTACAGTTGAGAATGGCAGCAAGATGAAGCAGAAACTGAACATCAGCAATACAAACCCCAGAGGCAAAAGAAAAAAAAAAACAAAACAAAACAAATGCTAGGGATGAGGTACAGGATATTGGCTCACCCTACAAACCTACAGATACTGTGGTCAGTCTCTTCAATTACATCTGTGGGAACCAAAACCTCAACAAAGGAAAATAAGCCTGGGAGAAGAATCAGTATTAACTGAGGGAAAGAATGATAAAATGCTTCAAGGGAAATGACAAATTGAAAATGAAAAACACCTTAAAAAACACTGGGAGAAGCAGAATGTAAGGCAAGTATTTTTCCCCCCAGGTTTGTAGAAGAGTAGCAGAGTTAAAAATATGCAGTTTTACTTCTCTACACACACAATTTTCCTTACAAACATAAAAAAGTTGGAAGAACAATTTGCCACCTGGAGACAATGCTGCTTTAAGAAAGAATAATAATGAATCAATCATAGTATCAATGTGAACTGAAGTATATGTCTACCCAGAGCAGGTGTAAGACAGCCTGCTTCAGCCAGCTTAAAAGCAAAAGAGAAGAAAATGCCCATAAAACTTTATCAGCTCACAGGAACTGGGTATCCACAGTACAAATGTAAATTCCTTTTGCATGGCCTTGCCAACCCTCAAAGCATTGGTCACCAGGCATGAACCAACAAGCAGTACAGTGAAGACTTGTATCAACATATGGGATATTTAATTACAATCACAGGCTTGGAAAGGTTGTCGGAGGCACAAAAGAGGAAGGTAAATACCCAGAGATTTCATTCCATTCTTTTGCTGAAACATTTCTGTCTTGCCACTCAGAATTTCATTCTAAAAGCAACATGACAAAGTTGGTGACTCAGCCTGGTTTGTACTAGGAACGTTCAGATTGTCGAGGAGGCTTTTTAAACACTGAACATATTCTGGAGGTGCTGACTAGAACCACAACAGATGTACAAACACAGTCAAATGACACAGGCATCTAGAAATCAGAGGACTTGTGCTGGGGGCTGGCTACTGCAAAGCAAACACTTGTCCCAGGCATATGTGGCACTTTCTTACTGGCACAGGGCAGGTCTCAAAACTGGTCCTGACAGTTTTGAGACAGCATAACATGTGGACAAGAATATGTCCATGAGCATATACATATGTCAAAAGACAGCAAATATGCTTTCAGCATACAGGCAAATTCAGCCTTGCTGCTGCTACCTCTCTTTGATTCACTGTTCCAACTCCCACACTGTATGACATCCCTTTCAGCCTTTTCAGTACTGCACACATGATTTTGTTCATAAGCTTTTCATGCTACACACTAAAATGAGATAAAACTATTTTTACCATTATTCTGATTCCAAACATGCTCCAAAAACTCACTGTCCCTGTTATTAAAAGTCTCCTCCTAAATTTCCATTCTCTTAGAAACATAATGCTTTGTCTTAAGTAGCTCTTTCACCCCATTCCTGATAAATTTGTAGGCCACAAGTATTCAATCTTCATGATTATCTTTGCAATTCACCCCTGAAGTCAGCTGGACTTAAATTATTTTGAGCACAGGGATCAGACACGCTGATGATTTCAGGAAGCGCGATACACACTCCCGTAGCTGAACTGGATGGCTGATGCATGCTAGGATATCTGGGAGGTTTTTCACAACAAAGGTGGTTGCAAACCACACTGGGATTATGCCCTAATGGGACACCTAAGACCCTCCAAGCTCAAGCAGAAAGTTTTGGTTTACTGTGCTTCCTTACATTTCACTGTAGATGGATGATCATCAAGAGTGACTCTGCCACCAAAAAGTGCCATCCTCATGCTCCTGTTTTTCATGTCAAGATCACCCATGAAAATATTAAGGCAGTCAGTGGCAAAAGGTAGCCCTGAGGATTTTCACAACCAATATTGTTCCTTTTGCTACCTCAGAGTCAATGACAGGAAGCAGTCCTGAACTGACAACAGAATCTGGCTGAAGCAAAGTTCATTAATCCTGGATTTCCTAAAACAAGGGGAACTGGCACACAGAGGAAAGAACACTGCCAGCTCAGTTTTGCTTTCTCCTTCAAAAGTGTATTCACATAAAAGGGGGTCCAGGGTGGAGGGTGCTATCCATGCAACAAAATATATGCCATGCTCTGAGGTAGTAATCAAATCCAACAGGCACTAAACTTGTCCTACAGAGAGAAAATGGTGCAAGAGCTCAGAAAAATCCCTTAAGACTAACAAATTAGTCTAGAAATATTTCTGGAAAGGGACCAAAGATTATCTACTTGAAATTCTATAAAAGGCAAGACTGGAAGTGTAGCTGGAAGGCACAGAACACTGCAGCCAACATCTTTCCTCAAAATGCAAACATAGCAGTTGACAGGAACGTGTGGAGTGAAGCATTTGCAACGAGCCAGACTCAGGAGTGACAGAGAATACAGGCCAAGCATGATCTTCTGCTCAGTTAAAACTGCTTTCAAGTAACTTGGAGATCATAAGGATTACACCAAACTAATTAGCTTAGAATCTTACATAAAGTGTAGAAACTTGCTCCTAGAGGGTGGGGGAAAAAACTCTTACTGTTTTCAAAATCTCACAGCTTTGAATATAATCATACCACTTCTTTAACAGTATTTCTGCATAATTACTAAAAAAATATCTATGAAGGTCTCTTCTCACAGCCAACTTCTTACCTGTGACCAGAGTTTAATAGGAACAAGAGTGGTTACAAATGAAAAACACTTAATGAAGTTTATATAGTTTCAAATATTATTAAAGGTTCTAATAAAGCATTTATGCAAGAAGGTAGAATTGACTAAAAGCCTTACAAATACTGTAATGCAGCAACATTATTTATCCACCCTGCTTACAAGTGCAGTATAGTTCACCATTTAAAACATGGAAATATGTAATAAAGCCAGCAGCTCCTTTTGCACTTATAACTGGAAAAATACAGCTTCAAAATGGAATTTACATTCAGGTTTTACAGAGAAGCATTTTATTTTTATAAAGTATTTTTCAGAAACACGAGAATGATAACTTTCAAGCATGATGTGTGTATCTGAATGTGACCAACTCACTTGGAATTATTATGGTGAATGTTGCAAGCCCGAGCCATTAGCACCACAATCATTGGTCGAAAGGCCTTTCCTTTCCCATCAAAGTAATAATCACACATTTCCTTAAGTTCTGCTGCAGAGACCAGCAATTCCTACAAAAAGGACAAGAGCATTTCAGCACAGAAGTCACTAAGTCAGTCTCTTTACTGTAAGTAAAACAGTATGCATGTATAAGGTTATTGCTTGCATTTCTTCCACCCAGTGTAAGCTCAAGTTATTTTTAAAATTACTATGAGTAATGTGAAATGTAAATGATGCATTCCAGTACAGCAAATCAGAAAAAGTTGCATTCTTGTTCTATAAAATATGAGAAATGCTCCATTTGCCTTCAGTTTAAGTTTCAGACAGCAGTTCATAAACATAAATCACACTATGTCAATAAATATCCATAAATAAATATATTTCAATAAATATCCAAACTGATGGCTGCTATTAAAAACAATCATCATGACATCCCAGCACAGTCACTAAAATCCCCTACCTTTTTAATATCTTCATAGAGATTCTTCAAGTCTTTTCTACCAAGTTGGAAAGGGTCTTGGTATTTTTCATCACTAATTGTCTTACTGCAGCTGCACCAGTGGGATGCACTTGTGTGATGAAACCTGGTGACAGTGTTTTTCGAGAGAGGAGTCTTGTTAGAAGTCAAGCTCCCCTGATTCCCCATACAGAAACATCTGAAAGGATTTCTTTCTCTCCCCTCTCCCCTCCACCCCATTTAACCAAATGGCTAAAATGAAGGCATCAAAACACTCTTTTTCAGGCAGACAGTAAGGTGCAAGGACAGACAAGCTCTGTGTTGATGATCATATACCTTTGGGACCTGGCAAAGTGCATTTGGCAAACACAGACTCACTCTGCCCGTCACAGATCCCAGATCTTCTGAGACACAGAACACTACACTGCTCTCGATCTATTCCTTTTGAATGCACCATGGATAGTGTAGCCTACATTGGAGATAGAGCTTTCACTTCTGGAAAGCCAACAACAACTGTTTCTGTTACTTTCTTCCCTCTCAGGTAAACTCCTGAAAAAAATATTCCTGACTTAGGTTTGGTATTTTTTCCTTTGTATATGCAGCTACATAATAAATTAAATCAATACTTCCAGGTAGTGTGATGATGCTAGGAAAATTCATCAGAAAAGGGTGAAAGCTCCACCTGGATGCATTAAGATGCATTTTGCTTAGGAGATTTGTTTGTTTGTTCCCTGGATTTGAAGTTTCTGCTTCTTCTTCTAATGTTTCCTTTTACAAAGTGAACCATTTGTATTTTCTTGCAACATTCTTGCTTTGCCTGTTACTTTCCAGGACAGGCGACTGAGATTCAGACTCAGAACTACAACAGCAACCTACACTGGAGTAAATAACTTTATTTTCAAAGTTTACAGCTCAGAGGTGCAACTACCCAGTTCACCCAGTAACTATGTCCTTACCCACTACACAACAATGTGAATCTCCAACTTACCGCCAAAATATGCTACATATTTTTGGAAACGAGAAAGTGGAACTTCTTTGGGTAATGTGACACATCTGCACAAAATAAAACCAGGGATAGTTTATTGGAACTTTAAACTGACAGAAGACATTTGACTACAAAAAAAAAGTATCCATCACCATTCTCTGTTTCTCCATTTTAGCCAAGCAGCAAAGGGAGTCTCATAAGCCCTTCCACACCACGTGAGACATGAGCACACACTTCATCAGGCACACGGAAATGACTCTTCTGCTCCGGAGCCTTGGACTTTCTCCCCTTGCAGGCCCAGCCCAGGAGGCTTATCACTTAAATTACCAAAGCTGCTCCAATAAAACCTTGCTACCTTGCTTTTGCACTTGAGCAAGGTGCAATTTTCAAACGGTCCTTGCCTGGCAGATAAACCTGGACTGCACCAGTCAAGGCACAGAGAAAAGGACGAGCTGTTTCAGTACACTAACAAAAAATCATGTCTTCTTTTCCCCTGAAGCAATTTCAATTCTGCCTGCTGTTTATAATTTACACCTGCCCATCTTCCCTGCTAGATGTCCAGAACTTAACTTCCAAATCTAGCAATCTCTCCAAGGATTGCTCCCTGCAGACAGAGCCCAGGAGCGTGGGGGAAGGAAGGCACAGTCCCAGGTACAGGATTCCAGCAGACACAGGCTGAGGAAGGAAGCACAGCTTTTGCTGTGCTCCTGGGAGTGCTGCCAGGAAGTACCGAGCCCTGCCCAATGCTGGGCTGAGCCAACCTAAAATCACTGCAATCCACGTGTTCACCAGACTGCCTCTGGAAAAACTCACACGGAGCCGCTCAAGGAGACCTGCTCCTCCTGCCTCGGCGTCTCCTCAAACGTGGGTTAAAGTAAAGTCTCTCTCTCCTTGGGTAGTGGGAGACAAACAAAAGCACTGTCATGGCCCAAGGGCACTCTTCCATCCTCCGTGCTTACAAAAGGCCATGCAAGGAGACAAAGGAAGGCGAGGAGCCCAAACTTGTCACAGATCTGCAACCCACTGCTGTCTGACTTCAGCGTCCGGCCCTACGGCTGAGACATTCCTAAGTCGCTCTCCCGGACCTCTCACCGCGTTCTGCTGCTAAAAATAGCTGATCTCTTCCTTCAGCGTGGGCACACACAGACTGCCTCCTTCACACTGCCGCTTGACCCCGCAGCAGCGGCGCTGCGGGATGCTGGACACGTTCGCCAGAGCACATTCCCTGTCCCGGGTCAGCACAGCCAGGGCACCCCAGCGAGGCTCAGAGCAGCAGCCCGGCCTTGTGAACAAGCTCCAAACCAAGGCAGTGAGTGAACTGCCCCCATTACCGCTCACAGCGCTAACACACACAAACGCCTTCCAAATCTCACACTAATGAGAACCACTTCCCCTGCACCCACCTAGGAGAGGCTCACACACCGGCCAGCGTGCTCACACACTGATCGGTGCTGAAAACCGCCAGTCCGGAATTTAACCTTGCACCGAGCGCGCTCCTGCCCCCAGCAAGAACCCCCCCGGCAGGGAGCCGCCCCGGGCCGTGGCGCTTCCCGGCGGAGGCTGCGGAACGCCGAGGGAGCGGCGGCCGCGGTGCCCGCCCGGCCCGGCAAGGCCATGGTGTCCCCCAGCCCCGCCGCGCCGGCACCGCCTCCCGGCACCGCCGCGACCCGGACGCGGAAGCCCCGCGCCGCCACCGCCCTCCGGCCCGGTGCCGGGCGGGCACCCCAACGCCCTCTCTGAGGGCGGGAGACCTCGGGCCGGGTTCCTGGAAGGCGAGGCGGGGGGACATGAGGTGGCGCCCGTGGCTGCCCGCCTGCCTGGCCTGGGGCTGTGTGGCCGCGCTGTGCGGCTCCCGCGGGCTCTGCCCGGCCCCGAACGCCTCCCGCCCCGAGCCGGGGCAGTGCCCGCCGCGCCGGGCGGCCGAGCTCTGCGCCTGGGCCCTGTCCTCCGACAGCCTGCTAGGTACGGCCTGCCCGGCCCGGGTCTGTGCTCCTGCCCGGCCCGGCCCGGCCCGGGGTCTGTGCTCCTGGCCTGCCTGGCGCTTTTGCTTGTTGGGTTGTAGCAGCTCCTACAGTGAAGACCTGATACACACAGTCAAATATCGTTTGAAAATTAAAACTAGATTAAGGAGCTGCTTGCTTTCTTTTTTCATTTATCTTTTTTTTTTTTTTTTCCCCCCCCCGAGTCCCAGTTATTGTGTTAGTGCAGAGTTGATAACCTGATGCATCTCTGGAAGTACACAAAGCATTCTAGCTCTCCTAGCTCTCGGGCATACAAAACTGCTCGTAATCGTAGTGCTAATTGGTATGATAACATTACAGAACTAATTTCATCAGGTGATACAATTACTTGTGAGCATTAAGAAATAACCGTCAGTGATAAATCTTGTGGCAGCTGGCTATAACAGGATCTGTCATTAGAAGTAGTGAGAAACATGGCTAGATGCAAGGCTGCAGAGACACTCTCTTAAAATTTTTACAAAACAGTGTCTATGAGGTACTGGGATTTTATAATTAATGTGGAATTGTAACATTGTTGCAAGCAAAAGTCCATAAAGATGGTAAACCACATAATTTTAAAACAATATTTGTCCTCTGTTAACCATGGAAAAGGGCACAGAGTAGGACTAAAGGAAGAATAAATCACAACTTTGGAGTACACATGTGTGCTACAGCAAGAGCTACATCTTCCAAACCATTCATTCACTGTTTACATTATTCAGGCATTCAACCATTCATTCACTCATTTCATTCATTCACACTTTTCAAAAGAAAAGATTCTTTTTTTGTTGTTGTTTTCATGGGTTGCATGGTGATCATTGCTGCATGGGGACTGTACACAGCAGTTATTGGTGCACAGTGACTTAAATTTGTTGCACTACATTGTTCAGCTGTGGGGAAAGCTGAACTTCTCTGTCTCCTGCAGATATCTTTTAGGGTGTATATAATTGAGTGCAATATCAAACTGCCCTGAGACTGTTCCAGTCACACTCTATTCAATCTATTCTTAGATATTGTTTAGATCTTAAAACTAGAATGCCCTGATAGATCTTTAACTGCAGATCTTTAACTCAGTCCTTTTCAGAAATTCCAAACAATAAAATCCTAATTTTATTTGGGCTTGCTTTTCATGAAGGCTTAATATACATTGGTAAAGTTGTAATATTACAAGTTTTAATTGTTTTTAAAGCATTTTGGCTGAATTTAAGAGAAACATATTAAGAATAATATAATTAGTTGTTTTTTGTATGGCATTTTCTGTCTGTTTCATGTTTACAGATCCTTTTCCCGTTGATGTGATCCAAGAAAATTATGTCCGTAATGTGAGAAACTGCATTTTTTCAGTTGTCTATCCTACACCCTTTAAATCTAGAGTTCGTCTTGTAGCTGTTTCAAAGGTTGGCTATTGGTTTTTTTATTCCTTTCTAATTAGTAGAAATTATTAATACATGTACTAAAGTATATTTTAATATTCATATGCTATTTATCATGGAACATCTCAATAAATACTTTAAACAAACAGAGCATTTAAAACATATTGTAAGATGTCTTTTAATGGTGAGATCTGTAGAGAAAATATGTTCATTACCACTGACAATTTGATAATGTTCAATTATTATTTTTTTTCTCCAGGAAGTTCTTGAAAATATTTTGGATCTTGATGTATCTGTCAAAGGATCATCTGATTTTCTGGAGTTCATCAGTGGTGGGAAAGTGATATCTGGGTCTGTTCCTCTGGCCCATAGGTATGGGGGTCACCAGGTGAGTATGGCACTCGCTCTTCCAGGTGGAATTGTGTAGGTCTTTCTGTGTGAATTACACCTGGATAATCCCTGTAAGTACATGAGTGTATGCCTGTGAGTACATGAGTGCTTACTAACACTTTGATTGCAGACTCGTTCTTCATAATGGGCTGCAGGTGGAAAAGAACTATAATGTCCTTCCACAGTACCCTGTTTACTTGCTCTGCTTTTGTTTATGCCTGAAGCAAATAATCTTTTTAACTTTCATTAGCTGCTGAGTCTGCTTAGCACCCCAGCAGCCTGGCCAGCTATTAGTATCTAATACTAATAGCTCAGAGGAGTGGAAAAGGACAGAGCCTCACTGCAACACCATGATTACTAAGGTTCAAGTTTCATTGAAATGGCTATGATTATTCATGGAGAAGAATGCTAGAATTAGATTTTTAATTTCCAATTAAAAAAACCTAAACAAGCCATGTGGGTTTTAAAGGCTCATTATACAAAAAAGACAGGTCTGTAGCTGTACATCATAGCTGGAAGGTAAAAAAAAAAAAGGATTACTGGTGTTACTGTGGTTTTCTGATTCATTTTTGGAGTGAGTATGGAAGCACAGCTTTAGGGCTCAACATTTTAATGTGAGCAAATATGTTGTTTGTGAGGACCTAGATTTAATCTGTATTGTTTCAAGTATAACTTCTATAAATGATAGAGGACAATAACTTGATTTTAATTTTTGTCAGTTTGGTAGCTGGGCAGGTCAGCTGGGGGATGGAAGAGCCCACTTGATCGGCGTATATACAAACAGGTGTGACTTTTTTTTAAGTGTCTGATTGAACTCTGTGTTCAGTTCAGCTGATTCATGGTTAACCTGAGGTCTGTTGTTAAAAATGCCAATGGTATTTTTGCAGGCATGGTGAGAGGTGGGAACTGCAATTAAAAGGGTCAGGAAAGACCCCATACTCCAGGTAAGTTGCAGTTACTCTGTGTACTCTAAAACAGAATGATTTCTTTTTGAAATTTACTTTGATTTTATGACCTGTTCCTTATTTCTGTGTTCTCCATAGGAATGGTGATGGGAGAGCTGTGCTTCGCTCTTCTGTTCGAGAGTTTCTGTGTAGTGAGGCCATGCACTATCTTGGAATTCCTACAAGCAGGGCTGCTAGGTATTTTTCTCTCCTTTGTTCAGAGTATACTAATTTACAGGTAATTTTGTGACTGAGTTTCACTGAACATCAATAAAACAGGGCAGTTAGTCCAAGATGAAAGATCTCTTCAATATGTATGCTATCAGAACAAAATATATTCTCCACAGATTTTTGGATAAAACTTTCCAATAATAATAAACTCCAGCAGTCAACTGCATCACATAGTTTGCTGGATGCTAGAAATGCAACTTAACTTTAGAGTAGTAAAGACTCATTTCTGTAAAGTCAGTACAAATTCTAGAATCTAGCCAACTAGGAAAATGTTGAACTGTCATTTTTGTACTGTTGTTTTTAAGATTGCTAACAAATTTTCCCAGTCATATGAACAAACATTAATATTGGAGGTAGAACTGAATGTAGACAATTACTGTCAATTCTTTAGCTATGCAAACACCCCTTGAGCAGAGAGAGAGCGAGTTCGTAAAAAAAAATCTAAAACTAATTCTGTGTGAACCAAAGGAGACTAACACATTCATTGATTTGGATGATTTTCTCAGAATCAAGTAACTGAATATTTTCAGTTGATCGTGTTTAAAATACCAAGTTCATTTTGTGTTCTAAGTAGTCTCAAGTCTGTACTGCATTTTTTCAGGCTTTAAAGAAAGCAAACGTTCTGCAGAAAAGGCCTGTACTCAGCTGCCACATGGCTAGGTGTCTGTATTTGCAAAGTGTCTGCAAATCTCTTTAGCATTAGTTCTAACTCATTTGCTCTGTTGAAGTGCAGTGTTTGTAAATGACATTTTTGATGGTTTATTCACTGACTTCATCTTGAGACTCTTTGCTCTTGGCTCTAAATGCAGAACTTTAAATCTGTCTGAATATCAGCAGGAAATCATTTGGCAGGTTAGAGCCTCTCTTTGCTGTCGTCTCAACAAATTGTTCAGTGCAAAACCAGTATGAAATTACCCCTTTACTGTGCACGAATTCTACTGAGCACACAGTGTGCTTTAGCTCTCTGCTGGCAGATTGGTTAAATGCCTGGCTCTCTTAACTGTTGTACAAGCTCTGCAGACTGTTTGCAAGACTTAATTTGGAAAAACCCCAGCTGACAGCCATATTCTTCCCGATGGGGAGCTGTTGCACTGAGGCTGGTGGGATGCACTTAACAGAGGTCTTGTCAAGTCTTGGCAGAAGTGGGAGGAAAAACCTTATGGCTTATCCCAGAACACCCAGCAGGTTGGTTTGCTCTATTAATTTTAAGTTCCCAATGGGGTGCTACAGTTTATGACTATACTATCAGATACAGAACACTTCATATGTGCCATTTTAGGCACATACTGAGCCTACCAGTGAGCAGTGTTACACATTAAGTCAGAAGAGTGAGCCAATATGCATGGTTTTCCAAATGGCTTTACTTGCATGGGGCTTGATGTTCATGCAGAACAGCAGGCAGAGCACTGGGAGTGTAAAGTCAAGCCCTTAAGTGAGAACCAGGTAGGGAGGGATTCCATCCATCCATCCATCCATCCTTCCTTCCTTCCTTCCTTCCTTCCTTCCTTCCTTCCTTCCTTCCTTCCTTCTGGGAGTGCTGTTCCAGCTTCTTTGGTGTGAGAGCAATTCCAGTGCTCTGTTTCCTGTGGGTGGGTGTACAGCTGGTCTGCTGCTGCCTTCTCTCCAGTAATGGTGCTTACCAACTGCAGGGACCATTGGAGAACCACTTTTCTAGTGAGAATGTGTGTCTGTGTGGCTGCTCAGCTATTGGCCAGCTCTCAAGTGTTGCACATCCATACTAACTAAATGTTGATGCCCCCATGGATTTTTTATCTGCAGTAGAAGTTCCGATGTTTTGTTGGAATTTTGCAGAGAGCCTGCTAAGAGTTACACAGTAAAAAGGAAACAATCTTTCTGGCAGAGGTCTGTTCAAAACAGTAAAGTCTACTAGGACAACTTTTGTGCCTTCTGTCCCCTAGTGCTCTGCTGCACACACTATTTTGTAGGTGTCTGAGGTTCCTTCTCTTGTTTCTAATTTTTCTTTGTTTTCTCTTGAAGGATTAAGATTTTCTTCTTCCTTCCATCTCATTTACATCATAACTTTTTGTACTTAATCCTACAGACATACCAATTGGTTTCAAAGGAGTATTAAAAAAAACCCCAAAAAACCAAAAACCTAACTCTGTCAGTACAATTCCAATAAAAGGAACAGATTGATTTCTGTATATTGTTCCCCTCCTGAAATAATTCACTGCCTGTTCTTTGCAGTTAACAGAACATTCAGTCTGAATAGCTACTAGGTATCTTCAAAAATACTGAATACAATAACAGTAATTTAGTTTCAAACCCACAGTTACTGTTGCAAGCAACTGCACTGGGTAAGACTTCATGCTCTTTCTTTTCATGACCTTTTTTTGTACATATTTATATTATATGGATTTCCTACATTTTTGGTTCAACGGAATTCTTTCTAAAATTTCAAAGCTCAAGTATGTAAAACCAGAATCTAGTGTACTTCCAAAATTAAACTCTTGGGAATTAATATTGTCACTGTCTCCAGTCATATTTATGAATGGAATAATAGGTCTGTCTCTTATTCTTTGCTGTGTACCTTGAAGAAAAGTTTGTTTCTGTCTTCTCTGCTGTGTTGAACTACCTAGTAGCAGATATAAATAACTGCATTAAATATCAAATAGTGTGCCACCCAACTATATTTTGAATCATGGAATCGTAATTTGTGTTGGAAGAGACTTCTACTGGTCTAGTCCAATTCCCCTCAATGAGCAGGGACATCTTCACTAGATCAGATTGTTCAAAGCCCCCTCCAACCTGACCCTGAATATTTCCGTGGATGGATTTCCATCTACTGCCTTTCTGGGGCAACCTGTTCAGTGTGTCACCACCCTCTGAGTAAAAAACTTCATCCTAATATCTGATCTAAACCTGCTCTCTTTCAGTTTTCAGCCATTCCTCCTTGTCCTGTTGCCAGAGGCCCTGGTAAAGGGCACCTGTCCTGCTCTCTTGTAGCCTCCTTTGGGGACTGGAAGGGGCTCTAAGGTCTCCCCTTGCTCCCCATGAACAGCTCCAGCTCTCAGTGTGTCCTCAAAGGAGAGGTGCTCCAACTCTCTGGTCATTTCTGGATCCACTCCAATAGGTCCGTGTCTCTCTTGAGTAGAAGAATATTTTCCAGTTATCAACAAGCAATGATAAAGAAGAATTATACAAAGTGAGCTAAATTATCCTCCTGCTAGAGTCTTGAACAAGGAGTCTTCTCTGCCTATTGAGGGGGTAAAATCTCTTTCAGAAAATGGCACCAAGCTGGATTGTCAGTTGAATCCCAGTTGTTTTGGAGAGAAAACTTCCTACTTGTTAGCCTTAGAGGAACATGATGCCCTTGTTTGTGAGGATTGACTTTTCCTGCCAGAAAAGAAAATACAAGGAAATTACATGTTTCATTTAAACAATTTAATTCAAGTTGTGAAATATTTTAAAGCAAGTTGTACTGAGCTCTCATGAACCTCAATATTTGGATAAACATGAAATTTATAGAATGTGCAGAATTTTAAGGCAAATGAAAGGAAGAGATGGGTTTTAAAAATCCAGTATTAATAGCAGTGATTGCAAAGGGTCACAGACATGTCCCTGAAGTTTCTGACATAATTTTGGCTCATGTAAAGGGCAACCCCATCTGATGCAACAATTTGGTTTCTGATTTCTCTCTCCTCAAAATTTCCATGTTGTCCCCAAGGAAACTGGGACTTAGTTGATGTTACAATCACACTAATCTGTCACTGAGGTTCCAAATGAATGCACTGCTCTTTTTGAGAGCAGATATCTCCCCAAGAACAGTGAGAGTAGTGAAATTGGACAACGCTGTATTAAATACAAAATAAATGCATCTTGGCCCTGAACCTTGTTAAGCCTCAGCATTTTCTTTGCCTGTGTCATTTGTAAATACAAAGCTCTACCACCAAAACAATCTTTCTTCTTATGAAGAAAACGAATTTATATAAAATATCTCTTTGATCTTCATTATGAATTACTTTTGCTAAGATAACTTTTAACATTCATTTCTTGTTTCTACAGCTTAGTTGTAAGTGATGATGATGTGTGGAGAGACCAGTTTTACAATGGAAATATTAAGAAAGAAAGAGGTAATGGACATATTTTAAAATACTACAACATTGTAACTTAATTCTCCATGAAAAAATATGTAATAAAAAGTAATAAATTGGTTTAATTTAATTTATTAAGATTTAAAACCTGTCCTGAGAAAATAATTCTGAAATATATATTGTTGAAGAAATGAAGCCCTCTGAACTGGTCTTCTATGATTGTGGCATACATATTGAAAGAATATAATTTTGATTTTCATTTCCCATTACAAAAATATTGAAATCTAGGGAAGTTTTCCATTGTTTTGATAGCAATGCCAGGATGGGTGGAATGCAATTGTGGCCATGTCATTGCTACATCATCTACACCTGCCTGAAAAAGAGAGAGATGGTACAGCATGGGGAGAAAATCTGTTTGTGTTCTTTCTTTGAGGCTGGCATTTCTGGAGTGATTCTAGTATTAATGCACTAACAGAATTTTGCCTGTGGTTGCTGGTATAGCAAATCAAGCTTTATCATTAAAATTCATGTGTAGTAAAATAATATTATACATATTCATCTGTTATGTGTTAGGCATACTTACAAAAATACCATTTTAACTGTGTATGTACAAACTCTGTGTCTACAGAAACAACACATGGTGGCTTTTGCTGTGGAACTGTTTTAGTTTGCTGGTGCTCTGTTTACATTTAAACACACTTGTCTTTATATTTAAGGTGCAATAGTGCTTCGACTTGCCAAATCGTGGTTTCGTATAGGATCCTTGGAAATCTTAGCTCACTCTGGGGAGCTGGACTTACTAAGGTTTGAATTGAATCTTCACAGTAACTGAAATAGTTTTCTCAACCATCAGATTACATTAGAATTCATGTATATAGTTGGAATTTAGACATAAATTATTTAGCAAGTGAAATTACATAATTTAGAAAGGTAACCTGCTATTTTTACGCAAGCATATCAAAGATCTTACCTCACAAGGGTAAAACCCTTGAGATGTTTCTAAAGGCCTGGATCTTACAAAATGAGGAAAGTTTTATACCTGAGTAATTCTGGTAACTAAGCACTAGAGAGGAGTTGTTTGTTTTGGAAAGATTTGTAAGTTGGAAGTGTAAGTTCCTACATTTCTCAGTATTCTGTGACAGATCCTGCAAATTTCAGTGCATGTATCCCATTTCCCTAAGCCTGTCTTGTAGTAATGTGGAGAACTTTTTTGGGAGCAGCCAACTATTGTGGAAGTAACCCTACTCCATAAGAATTCAGCCATAACATTTTCTTTGTGAAATTCTGATGTAGAATGGTTATTCCTTGTAATCTTATATTGTTTTTTTGGAAATGCAAACTCTTTTTTTCCCTAAAAAATGGATATTGCTGCATGCAGAACCATGTCCTGATGTGTTCTGGAGATTTAATGTGGGGATAATTTTAACTCTGTATGGCAGTCTCCAGTCATATTTATGACTACAACCTTAGGTTTTATCTCTAAGCTTTTTGGAAGAGCTTAATCTAATATTCATTGGAGTACATAGACCGAGTTTTTTAATAACTATTTGTGGCAAGCTGTAGATCAGCATTTTGCTGTTTGAAAACAAGAATTTTTAATGATCAGTTCCAAAGTACCAGTTTGTTTAAAGAATTCTGTTTCTGCTGTTACAGAAGATTGCTAGACTTTATCATCCAGGAACATTTTCCATCAATAGCTATGAATGATTCAAATAGACACCTGGTAAGTCTTTCTTAAGAGTAATTTTTATTTTCCACAAGCATGTGAACAAAAATTACAGAAAGATCTTCACAATGTCAAGTTTTACAAGACTTTAAAATTTGAAATGATCTTCCAGGTTTTATTAGCAAAGGTTTGTTAATTCTCTGCAGTAAAAATCTGATTCTTGATTTTTTTTTTGTTTTCTCAAAGTCAAATATGAACATTTCTCACCAGTTTCCATTTTGGAAATGTTTATTGTGAAGCTTCCATTTTCTGTTGTATTTTATTCTCTTACTGCTCAGGTTGTCAGTGAACAGTGGTCATGTTGTGATGAAGTGTGCTTTTGCTAATGTAAATGTAGTATATATAGTATATTCTAGTATACTGCCTAGTATATATAGTGTCTTTTTTTTTAAAATTAATTTTACTTCTTAATTTCTTTAAGGTCATCCGTGTATGCTTATTTAACTATAGTCTTTGCTGGGTGTAGTATATATAGTATATTCTAGTATACTGCCTAGTATATATAGTGTCTTTTTTTAAAATTAATTTTACCTCTTAATTTCTTTAAGGGCATCTGTGTATACTTATTTAACTATAGTCTTTGCTGGATAAGGTTATTATGCATTCACATAATTTAGAATGGGAATGACAAGTCCTGACAGACAGATAGCTGATTTTGAAAAATAGAATGTATTACATATTTCTGAAGTGAATAAAATGCTTATGTATTTCAATATTTTTGATAGAGAGGACTTGAAGTAAAAGATATATTTGATTTCAGGAATTTTTCTCTACAGTCGTGTCAGAGACTGCAAATCTCATTTCCTTGTGGATGTCTGTGGGGTTTGCACATGGTAAGGTGCCAGATGGCATTGGGTTTAGGAGAGGGGCACTTCACAGTAATGTACTTAAAAATGGCTTTTGTTTGTCAGCATGGTATTTTGTTCTGCTGATGTCTTCACCTACAGCTTTGTCTGTCATGCAAGGGGCTTTTGTAACAGAGTTACGCTGTCTGATCTCTCAGAGCACAGCTCTGACAGGATGAGAGTAGAGGAGCAGGAATTCTCAGAGCTGCTGCAGCAGTGCTGTGTACAAAGACAGGGTGCTGATGCCATGTGTGAGTTTAACTGCTCTGAATTTGATGCCTCCACACACAGCCCTGGCCTGTTACAGTGCACAGGACACAGAGCTGTCTGGCTCTGCTGCAGATTTGTGGGATTCACCCCAAAACAGCACAGGAGCAGCAGCCTGGGTGTGCTGCAGGGCCTGGGCTGGGGGCAGAGGGATGGGTACGTTTTCCAGAGCCCAATTCCTGAGAACTCTCTAAATTCAGTGCACCTGTTTCATAGCAAATTGCCTAGAGACTGGGGTTCGGGTGGAATTTTAACTTTTGTTTCTCCTTTCTGTTTAACTGTAGGTGTGTGCAATACAGATAACTTCAGTTTATTGTCCATAACAATAGATTATGGTCCATTTGGATTTATGGACTCCTACGACCCAAGTGAGTGGAACATTTATTGGGATTTTTTTTTTTTTACTTAAAATAATCTTTTTATATTTTTTTTTTTTTTTTTTTTTTTTAAGAGTAAAGATGTAAAATTAAAATAATCTTTTTATACTAAATTATATAGTTTCCATTGCATGAAAACTCCTTTCATTATTAGCAGAAAAACCTTAAGCATGTGTACTGTTTGAAGAGCTTTAGAAAAAAAAATTGCATTAATGATGAGTTTTATGATACACTTTATAGGTTGCATTTAAGGATTAAAAGTCTTGTTAATGAAATATTACTATTAATCCCATTTCCATGAGAGTGTTTCCACTTGAACACCATCAATTCAATAGGTGCTGCAACAGAAACCTAGAAAACTAAAAATTGTCTATTGCTGGAAGCAGCCAAAAGCAGAAGTGGAATACAGTAACTTTGCATGCATGAAAGCTCTAGTTTTATAGTCACAGGAGTTAATTATATGTTGGAAGAAAAGAAATCAAACCTACACAGTCATGGTAACCTTCTTCTGAAATTCTTAGCTCAGTCAGTCTGGATTGATAGATACAGGTTCAGTATGTACATAAATGTGTATTCTTAGAATATTGTTTGTAGTTTGCAACTGAATAGACTTCAGAATCAGCAGTGGTTATCTTGCTATGTGTTTTCATGCCTGCAGCCTCAAATTAAGGAAAAGTCATGAGAATAAATGTCATATTGTTTCTATTGTATTGAACAAAATGGGGATTTTTTGCTTTTAGTTCTTTCTTTATAGGGTGGGTTGACCCCAGCTGGCAATTAAGGAACAAGCCACTTGTTCACTCCCCCTTCTGTGGGCTGAGGGAGACAATTGAAAAAGCAAGGCTAAGGAAAAGTTTATGGGTCAAGATAACGACATCTGTATAAGTCAAGGGGAAAAAAATGGCAGGAGTGACCAGCAAGTGATGCAAAGATAATCACTCACCATATGTCACCACCAGACTGATGCCAAGTCAGTTCCCAAGCAACAACTGCCTTGGAAAAAACTACCCCCAGTTTTTATTGCTGATCATGATGTTGCAAGTGTGGAATATCCCTTTGGTCAGCTGAGCTCAGCTGTCCCAGCTGCATCCCCTCCTAGCTGGCCCACTCCAGCCTCATTTTCTGGGATTACAGAATGAGCACAGAGCCCTTGATGCTGGGCCAGCCCTACTGAGCCATGTGTAGAACATTTGCAGGGCTATCAGCAATGTTTTGGTCCCAAATCCAACATGTGGTGCAAGACAGGCTGCTGTGAAGAGAAGTGACTCTGTCCCAGCCAGACAGTGCACCCTATGACACTCTAACACATGAGAGGTGTTAGAGTCAAAATTTGGATTGGAACCACTCAGCAGATCTGACAGATGAGTTGGGAGTCTCCTCCTTAAAGCTCCCTTTGCTGTCAGTGTCCTCTGAGGACTGGAGTGATGATCAGCTTATCTGGGTTTGATCTGAGTGAGGAGTTCCCACTGATCCCCTCAGAGGCTGCTGCTGTAGACAGGCATACATTTTGCTTCTGGGTGCTTGTAACTTGCATGACATGGTATTTGTTACCTCCCAGATAATGGATTTGCATACTGGAACACATTACACCTCATTTTCATGTGAATACAAAGCTTGCTTGTCCAATTGAGACAAATCTTGCTTAACTGGCCTATTAAGTACATGTTTACTATATGTGTGACTTGTCCATAAATACTTGAATCTAGTTGGACATTTGTTTGTTTAATCTATGTGCTAAATAGTAGCACTAGATGTAGTAAAAATACTGGGTTTAAGTGTGAAAGACTGTTTTTAATGCAAAAATGTTTTTTTCCTCTGTAACCATCTGAATTTACTTTGTATCTTCAGGTAGGAAAATGTCACTTGTGTGTGAAGGATGTATTCCTTAGATTTGCAAATAATAGGTCATGAGTTAACTCACTTTAAATAAGTATTCTTGTGATCTGTTTTTAAGTATTTAAGTAGTTTTAGGTCTTCTATAAGTTTGCTGTGTAAGTATAAAAATGTGTATTTCAATATTTTAACATTGATTGTTTATTGTAATTACTCTGTTATAGACAAGTAATGTTTTGTTTGAAACAGATTTTGTTCCAAACACATCTGATGATGAAAGGAGGTATAAAATAGGAAATCAGGCAAGTGTTGGGCTGTTTAATCTGAGCAAGCTGTTACAAGCCCTAAAACCTTTATTGGATCCCAGGCAAAAGCAGCTGTAAGTAATCCTTAAAATATCATTAATGCTTAAAGGAACTAGTGAGATGGGAGACACTGTAATCACCATATGCTTAGAAAAGAAAGATATTTGCCTTTAATTTTTTTAACTGGAAATTGATTCTGGATTAATTGTTGGCCAGAATAAAATTGTAGGGTGGGGAGAAAAGTTTTTGTTGGTCAGAAATAGTAGTAAAATAGCACCACAGGGAGGTATTAGAGGTTGTGTGATCCTTTCTCCTTTCACTAAGGTAGGACCTTTGCCTGTAGTTTTCTGTTCTAAGTTTGCCTAGCTTGTTTTGTAAGACACTTACTTAGGAACACCATGCATCCTCCTGAAGTAATGAAGTAGCATTTTAATAGCCTCTTGTAAAGATTCTTATGTGAAGAACAGACCCCAGATTATTCAGAATATCAATGTTTCTGAGAGAGCAGGCAGACGTTTTCGTTGTTTAATGTACAGCAGGATTATACCTGCAGCAGCATTTTAGTTCCTTAGAACTTGACATTTCTTCTGTTTTGCAGAGCTTCCCAAATTTTGGAGGGGTATGGTGAGCACTATCACAGTCGGTATGCATTTTCAGAACTGAAACCTTCTAGTCACAATGCTATAAAATATATAATGTTCACAATTTCCATACTTTGTTACTCTTTTCAGTTTCACAGAACTATTCAAAACAAAATTGGGTCTTCTTGGGGAGAATGAGAATGATAACTATTTGATTGCTTTCCTCTTAAAAGTGAGTTTACTTTGCTAATTTTGCTGGCAAACACCTGAACTGGTACCCCACACTTGAAAAGCACTCATAGAAGAATCTTTATTCACTAGATTATGGAAGATACACGGGCTGATTTTACAATGACATTCCGAGAGCTGAGTGAAATTACTGCAGACCAGTTAAAGGAGCTCCATATTCCTGAGGTATAAATACGAGCATCCAATCCTAGGAATACTTAATATAAAAAGAGTAAATCAAGTTGGACATAACTCTGATGTAGTAGATGCTATCTCAAGCCATGATTTGTCTGGGAAATATCTTTTTTTGTCATTATTAAGGGACAGAGGGACTAATACACCTGTGTCAGGCTACCATCCCTTGTTAAGCCTGTATCTGGTAATGATGAATATGTTAATGAAAAGTGTTAATGAAAGGTGCATTCATGAAAAATGCTGAAGTCAGATTTTCAGCCTTTGGTACAGGTCCAATGTGAGTAGTCATAAATACTCACACACAACTAGGAATGTGATTTTTGTCACATTTAACACAGGTCTGCTACAAAGAATTTTCTTCTCCTTCATCTCCCTGTTTTTTTGTTGTTTTGTTTAAGAATACCTTTTGTCCAACAAGTGGAGTTGCACAGGGCTCATGAGGAAAATTTCAGCCTCAGGTCAAGAAGACTGTTCCTGGCATGGGTTTACCAGGTGGCCTAAACCTCTGCTCTCAGGCATATTTGCTCTCAGGCATATCTTGGTATCTAATGATAAGTGAGATCCCATCTCAACATTAACTCCTGCTACAACTCTTTGGACAGAGTGGCCTCTGCCCTTCCTTGAGCAAGAGATTGGTTTTAAATATAACTTAAAGCATAGGAATACATTTTGCTTTTGTGTCCTGCTCAGCCTGCTATCTCATCAGGTGTTGCTGCTAACTTAGCCTAAACTTATTCTTCAGGACACCCTAACCCTAACCCTAACCCTAACCTATACTTGTGTCCTGCTCAAGTATAACCATATATAAAATACATGAGAGTATTTAAATTTTTTACCTGCATGTAGTGCACTCTTTGAAAGTGGAAATATAGCTGAAATATTTGAACTGGACTGAGATGCTAGGCAAGTCATTGAATAAAAAAGCAAAAGGGAAATCTGAAGAAGAAGCTTGTAATCTGTTTCTGAAAAGGAAAGAAAATAGCCTTTTTGTGACAGCCAAAATGTTGTGGTTTTTTTTTTTTATTTTTTTTTAAATTCTTTAATGCAGTGCCTTTTCCATGTGATGAATATTGTTCATTTTGCCTGGGAAACTTCATTGCCTTCCCCAAACATCTGATTTATGTCTGTTTGTTTTGAAGCCAATTTAAAATGACAGCACTTGGACTTAGGAGGTTGTTTTTAGGTAGCAGGATGGCAGTGTAAAACACAGAGTGAAAATGAGGAGTTGATGGTTCTTTTTCCAAGTATAATTAAGTGGGTTTGAGCAAATTTTCTAGTTTTCCTTATTTTCTTCTGTTGAGTAGGAGTTCTATCCTGACCTTTTCTATGAACTTGAAGCCATTAAGAGTTTAAAAGTTTAGATGCTCTAGAGGTAAGCAACAAAAAGCTCAGGAGTTGTGGCTTTGGAAATAATTGTGTGCACAGGAGGGTGATAAGAGGATGGGTGTATTTGTAAGAGAAGGTATTTTTGTCATAGAACCCAAGGGATTTTTCCATTTATGGCAACTCCATCTTCCCATCCCTGAAGGTATTTGCTGAGGAACCAGGGATTGTGGTTGTGATCCTGCTGCTGCACTGAGGGTCATTTCCAGCCTTCACTTGGTAGCAACCTGATTTTTTTTTTCCACACAAGGAAATTATTTAGCCCACAAATTCTGAGTTCAAAAACTGATGTGGAAAAACAAGTACAATTTTATGCTGGTAAAAAATTTTCAATGTTTTAAATAACTTCAATTATAAAGTAATTTCACCTCTGTTTATTTACACACCAGTGCTTTCATGAATAATTTTTCATATTGATTTGTACATTGCTTAAGATTTTTTCAGCTGCATACCAAAATTGGTCTGAAAATGCCAGAATCCTTTGGGAACATTGCAGAGTCCTTATATTTAGTATTAACTGAAAACATCCTGAAATTCCTCCTAAAGCAGCCTAACTCTGCACATCTTTGAACAAATGCTCGATTCTCATACTCACCTGTTATCCACCTGCCTCATTCCCAGCTCAGTCATTTCTGTGCTCATTTTTATGATCAAATACAGTTTTCATATATTTGAACTCTTATTCATCAAAAAAAAAAAAAAACAAAACCAAAAAACCCAGATGGGATAAAAACTTTTTCTTCTTGCTTTAATTTCCCTTACCCTTTTTTTTTTCTCAAATATGTGCTATTTAACTCCTTTTATCTATGTCCATTTCTTCCTAATCTGTTCTTTCTCTGAAGTTCATTTTTTGTCTGTGAGCTTTGGCTGCTTTCAGCTGAGGAATGTGAAGCAGCTGTTAGCTCAGTGCAATCAGCCAGGGAGGCCTGGTTTGTGTTTGCTGTCCATCACTGGAGGATGTAACCCCAAGCAGTAACCCCCAAGCTCTGATTTCTTGCTGTCAGCATTTTCCAAGTTCTGTCTTGTGTCCTGCTGTCTCTATTCTTCTCAGTTTTCTCCTATCCCTGTAGACTTTAGTTTCCCTTTCTCTTCATCTTTTGTTTATTTATATATTTTGCTTATTGCACAATTTTTGATGAAAAGCAACTCTATGAATATATCTGACTCTTGTACAAGTCTCAGAAGAGAGTGAATCCTGTAATTGTGTAGCTTAAATAGATCAGACAATAAGCAAAGGAAGAACAGGGGTGAAGTGCTAGAGGTGTTTAGGTAAAATTTGTCATAACAGAGATGGATTCATGTGGATGTATCATGCTAGCAAAAGTAAATAATTTGAATATAGATGAAAAGATACTAGTAGATTGTTTAGGGAGAAGAGTCTTTGGAGGGTAAAAAATTTTCTGCCTTTTAAATCCTTTTATTGTTCACTGTCCTGGTTTCATCTGGGATAGAGGTTTTTTTTCCTAGTAGCTGGTACAGTGCCGTGTTTTGGATTCAGATTGTGAATAATGCTGATAACACACTGATGGTTTAGTTGTTACTGAGCAGGGCTTACACTAAGTCAAGGACTTTTCAGCTCCTCGTGGTGCCCTGCCAGGAAGGAGGCTGGGGGTGGACATGAAGCTGGGAGGGGACAGAGGCAGGACAGCTGGCACAAACTGGCCAAAGGGATATCCCACAGCACTTGGTGCCATGCTCAGCAAATAAACCAGGGGAGAGCTCGGGGGGGATACCCTGCTTGGGAACTGGCTGGGCACAGGTTGGTGAGCAACTGTTTTTTCATTTGCATTACTTGTTTCTGTTGGGTTTTATTTCTTTTTCCTTTTGATATTTTCCTCTTTATTGCTATTATTACTATTATTATTGTTATTATGAAATTATTTCAATTATTAACTGATCATATCTCAACCCACGAGTTTTCTTACTTTTAACCTTACTTTAAACTCCAGTTGAGGGGGAGCATGAGCAAGTGGTTATGTGAGGCTTAGTTGCCAGCTGGGGCTAAAACAAAGTATTTGTTGCTTACTTTGGTTGTTGCTTAACAGAAAAATAATTCTGATTATCTGTCAATAAATGTTTCCTTCTCTTTAGGAGTTCTGGGCTCTCCAGGATCTGCGTAAACACAAATTATTTTCAGAATGGGTTACTTTGTACCTCCTGAGATTAAACAGGTAAGTCTGATTGCAGTTTAAAGTGTGTATTTGCCAGAAGCAGGCAACTTTATTCTACAGTGATTTTGCATAGTCTTTAGTGGGTCTAAAGGATGTAACCCCAAGCAGTTGGGGTTACTGGCCCAACTGGCCCAAACATGGTTTCATACACCCTTTTTGTTTTCTTGGCTCTACATTGTGCTGGATTCAATAATAATTACTGCTGTAGTTCTGTTTTAACACTCAAGTACATAAAGATGACATGGTAGGAATAATTTCTATTCTTTGTCCTTCATTGAGCACCTGATCAGTGTTCTTTGGTCAACAGTTTTTCTTAAAATACCAATCCTACAGATTCAGTCCAAGAATCACAAAAAGGCTTTGCAAGTACATGGGAATTAATAGTGTTTAAGTACTGTTTATATATATATATTATATATATATTTACTGTGTAATAACATTGCTTTATGGTGGCAGGGGATGGAAGTTGAACAGTTGCAAATACACAGATTGTGTTTGGAAACCATGGTGTTGCATAGATAGGAATGCACAGGATTCTTTTTTGTTAAACCAATAAAGAATCTAACATTTTTTCTTAGTTATATATGGTATGCATGGCTAATAGTAGTGAAAATAAATACATTTCAGGTACTTGGAAATTTTATTCAGTAAATACAATTCTTAGGGGAAAAAATCATTATGAGGCACAAAACCTACAAGAAAGTGTGCATTTTTTTCCAAGTCTAATAATCTGTCAAGATTCACACTGGCTTCTGCCAAACACAAAAGCAAAGCATTTAATGATTTTAGTGGAAGTCAAATAAGATATTTCTAAAAATAAATCAGCTTAACCCTCACTAACTAAAGTGCTTTCTGGTTTTCTTCTTTTTGTTTTTGATGTATAGTAACAATGGTGACTCAGACGCCAAAAGAAGAAGAAGAATGGCAAGTGAGTAAAACAATCCAAAGGAATCATCTGTTTGCAGATGGCAAATATCTATTTACATATGTTTCTTTAATGCTAGACATCTTTCTTTTTGGGTAGAACTAAAATACAGTATGTTTCTGAAGAGGAGAAGCTCTCATGCTGCTCTGCTCCAATCTTTTAACCCTATACATTCATTCTGTCTGTCTCTGCCTTTTCTACATGCTACACAGAATTCAGATTTCTGATAGGGACACACTTTTTCTTTCTGTCATCTAGAGTTTGAAAAACTCCTTGTGAAGGGACTATCTGGTCACAGAAGGCAAAGGAAGGTGCTTTGATTCTCCAAGTTACTCTAAACACAAAATGGCAAAGGTACTGCAGTTAGGTATCACGGCAGAAACAGTGGATATGAAACTCCAAGAATTGTTCAGCAGGAGATATTTTTGATCTGCAGTAAGCTGTGGTAAATTTGTGAAATTTGCCTATAAGAGAAAATGAGCAACTGAAAATCAATGGCCAAAAGGGAATAAAGGAACTACAAGATCTGATCAAACTCTGCACGAGGCTTCACTGTTACATTGCTTTGCAGGGTGCTTCTGCAAAGCAGGATGGAAATGGCTGCACTCTTTTGTTACATATTGATTGGCCACTTTCTTCTAAAGCTCCAATCAATTTGCTAGGAAAATGGCAGGAGCTGGCGTTGACTTTCAATAATGAGGCAGCAAAATTACAGAGGACACAATTTGTGGTTTCAGGTTTGCATCCCCATTTTCTAACAAAGGCTCTATCTTAAAGAACTCTTCTTAAAATTCTATATGCAATTTGGGAAGTTAATATGAAAGGAGCTACTAAGAAGAAATATTTATTTTATTGGGTTTTGATAGGGTTAAAAAGCTTCACCTATGAGTTTCTGAGGCCTTTCACTCAATTTTCATTTTGAATTTTCAAGTTCCTGTTTTCTTCAGCTAAAATAGAATGCTGCAAACTGTCTAAACACATTTCTTATTTTTCTGTATCTTTAAATCTGCTTTTAGAGAAAATCATGACATTCCAAATTCCAAATCAGAAAGGATCCTAATTTGTCAATGATCTTCTGCAAATCCTCATTATGTTTTTCTACATGCACCTCAGAGGATCTCATAGTACAAGGAGAGATGAAACACAGAAAAGGTTTTGCCTCCAAAATCACACTTGTGCTAATGGTGTTAGTTTTGGTTGCAGTTAAAATCTGATCTGCAAAGATTCATGGTTCAGTTTGTTTTCTTCCATATAATCAACCATCACTCTCTATTCATACTGCAGAGCTGCAAAAATTTATAATAGGCTACTGATGTTAGTTCGTTATTGTTTTATTTAAAATTAACAAACTGTTGGATTTTTGCTAGCTGCTTGATATTACAGTATGACTGAAATTTCTTACAGAGGTTTTTGGGATTATTTTTTTTTCTTTTTGTTTTTATATCCATGGATTTAAAAGAATTACTTAGATGCCCTGTGATCTCTTTAAAAATTATTTCAGTTTTTGTTTTGCTTGTTTATTTGATTGTTTGAGCATTTGCTTGTAACAGCTGTCCTTGTCAGCACAACTTCCAGCAGAAATCTGGCCAATTCACTCAACTCTGCATTTTTAACCAGCATTTCATGTTGAAGACAAATCTGTCCTGGCTGCTCAGATTCTCAACAGGGTTGGGGAGTTCCACTAGATTTTGTACTGGTGTCTTTGACTGACCTTGAATATATTGGCATTAACACCTCATTATTCATCATCCTTTCCTATTTGTTAGTGTCATAAAAAATCTCACTTGTCAAAGTAAATTAACTTGAATCATTTAAGTCATCACTTATTAATTTTTTTTTCTTCCTTTCTTTTTCTGTTCTTAGTAGTTTTTTATCTTGCACCGCCTAAGCTTAGTTCTTCTGGAGTTGATCAAAAAGTTTTGACAATCCAAGCCTAAAATTGTATTTCTTTACAAAAGCAGCATGTAAAAAAGGTAGACCAGATCATGCTTATAAGGGCACAGAAGTTCTTTTGCTTTGTCCTTTTCTTACCTGGCTTGTATTACTCTTTCATAATTATCTTGTCACTTGTGTTAAATACTGATATTTTTAAAACCACTGTGAAACTTGTCAATTTGCAATTGTTAAGAATTTATTTCTGGGACAAATATTCTCCTGCTAAAATGACTCACAGCTCTAATGTGAATTACCATTTTTTGAATGAGTCATATGTTAACTTTTTCACCTTTTAAAACATTTTTTTAAATAGTTATCACACTTTACTATTGATAACCCATTTACTGGATTAAATCAAATACTTGGGCAGAGCAAATTGTTTTGCCAAGTGGTAAAACACTGTTTTTTAGCAGTTAGGGCAGAGTGTTGTTATGCCTGTGTAGAGGTTATCAGGATTCCCAGTAGACAGTTGTATTTATTGGCTTTTTTAATATGTAAGTACATACTGGACAGTGGGGATGTGAAAAAGAAGAATGTCTGTGGCCCTTTCTAATACATTCTTTGTCAATAAAATAACTTAATAACTAATTTATTAAAGGAATTGAGTAGAGGGAAGTTTGAAATGGTAATTTTGATGATTCCTGTGCTTTTTCCAATACCCTCTTTCAAATATGCTGTAAGGGTATTTGTAAGAATATTTTATAAATGTCCACGGATTTTTAAAAAGAAATATATAAACCTAACATTTATTCATATAAAACCTACTGGGATGTCAGTGGAAAGAGAAGGAGATGAAGTTTGTGTTTCAAGTGCATCAGTGAAATACCTTTGTATCACTAATACCTTAATGTAATAAATGCTTACTGAATTGGGGAAAATACACAGACCAATGGCAAATTAAGACTTCAAAGCAGGCTTGAAGTGTTACAATTATTCTGTAACATTGTTTTGATCATTAGGTAAAGGGAAAACTTACTGAAGTAGGATTCTAGCCTTTAATTGCAGAACAAAAATAAGAATTTCATTGACGTAATCTGCTAGAAAATTTATAGAGCCATGTGTGCTTATAAGAATTGTCCCTGGCATACAGTTGGATAAAACTCCTTTTTGTGGCTCTGCTGTAGGATGTATCATGGTTTACTAATTCAGCAGTTTAATTTTCCAGTATTGCTACATTCTCTGTCCTGCTCATTAGACAAAAGCAGCCTGAACAAGGCAGGGAAGCAGTGCAGTTGTCATGATGGTTTCCAAAAGGATACATACACAGATAGCTCTGGAAAAAAACCGAGGAACTGCTGCCTACCCCCAGCCAGGAGATTAAAAGGAAAGTAAAAGGAAAGTTGAAAAAGTAGTGTCTAAAAAATACAGCTGAAATGTAACATTAAAGGCTTTTATGGCTAAACTTTTGTTACATGACATAGAAGGAGTATCTATATACATATACTTTAAAGGATATCTTAGTAATTACTTTGTAAATTAAACAGCATTCATTTTTCTGATCTCCAGGAAGGTATTGACAACACCGAAATGTTTCCATCAACACAGCAGGAACCTAGGCCATGGTGAACTCATGGCACTTGAAAAGCCTGCTGGTGTTCCTGACAGGAAATCCTTCCTCTGTCCGTGTCATGTTCTGTGCTACTCTAACTTCTGTTTGGCACTTTGGCACTACTGATAGTGCAAGTTTAAAAAATCCTTTTAGCAACTCACAGAATTAAGTAGATTGATTAATTCCTTTTCCTTTTAATGCATTTTTTCTTGATCTGCAAATTTACCTCTTCTTAAGGATTTCAGTGACATGTTTCAATGACTGTTTTCATTTTGTTTAATGTGTCTAACTAAATTTAACATTATTTACTCTTGGTTTCAGCTGTTAATCCTAGATATATACTTAGGAATTGGATGGCAGAATCAGCAGTGAAAAAAGCTAATTTGAATGATTTCTCGGAGGTAAAATTATCTTTTTATTTCTTGACAGATTTAATAATAACCGGCATCACAGCTAACGAAACAATTGTTACATTTACACTTTGAATTGTACAACATTTTGACCAAAATTGTACCATATAACACCAATTGCTATTTAAAGTATTAATTACATTATTAATAGTAATAATTATAACATAAATAGCAGTGAGTGTATTAATAGTAGTACAAATAATACTAAGCAATTCATGTGATATTTTCTGGAGGGTGCATTAGACAAAATGAAAAAAGCTTTCCTTGTTCACCGGAAAACATTTGGTAATAAAATTTACCCATTTTTAACTGCTTCCAGGTTCAGCTCCTAGAGCAGGTTTTACAGCACCCCTTCCAGAGGCAGGAGGCTGCAGAGAGAGCAGGGTACTCCCTGCGCCCCCCAGCCTGGGCCAAGCATCTCAAAGTCAGCTGCTCATCCTGAGGGAAATTCAAACAAGCAACAAGAACGATCAAGGTCAAAGCTCAAGACTTCCAATAGGACTAATGGATCAAGCCACAGGAATTTCTCTCCCTTAGACTTTGTGGACAGGAATCTGCTACAGTGCTTGACCAACTTACGAAGACATAAATAACACCAATAATAAATGTTATGTGGGCAGACATAAATGTTCTTAAATCCTGCAGACCTGGCACAGAGGATCATCTTAGACCTTGACACCTTTCCTCATTCTGATTATGTTTTGTCCCATTAAACTGACAGAAGATTTAAAGGAAATTCAATTAAATAGTTAGCAAAGATGTCCATCTTGGAAGAGACAAAAGTGTCTGTCTTACTCCAGAGTAAGTTTTGGTGTCTTTGCTGGTGTCAGGTACCTTTCCAGAGGACCACTGCTCTTTCAAAGTATCTTCTGATAGGAGTAGAAAGATTATGGTGCATAGTTATGAAGTCTCAGGAAAAATTCACTGTTTGGCTCTGGAAAAGGACTGTGATGGGAGCATCTCAGCTGAGACTGCTTCAGTTTCAGGTATGGAGGAAGGTTAAAAAGGACATGCTGCAATTTCAGATATTTTCTGACTAAAATACTGTAAGGTCTAGTGATATACAGACCATTCAGAAGGCAATAGGTTAGGCAGAGGTAGAAGGATTAATTTCTTTCTATAAATGCTTTGAATTACAGCATTGGAACATCTTTTCATATTTTGCAGCATATTTTGGTACCAGATCAAGCCAGAAAATTGTGTATCAATAAGCTTTGTTCTTTGAATGGAGCTTAAATCTTACATTTAAAGAATTCCATGTAACCATGTACCAACACAAAATAGTTGATAGAGGTCTAACCATCACAGCATTTTACTTGATTTCTGGAGTTTTCTGTAGGCTTTGATTTTTTTTGTTTTGAAGAAAGTTCAGCTTCTTTTGTGTAAGATTAAGTACATGAATTATGATCGACTGCAGATGTAAAATGTATTAAAATTGATTTTTTTGTGTTGTAACAAAAGAGACGGGAGGAAATAGGGTGGGAGGCTGAGTGTTCTGGTGAGAAGAGTGAATGCTAGAAAAGCCACTGTAAAAGTCTCAGTGCTTTGCGACCTTACTGTGCAACATTTTTCAAGGGACATGTTCTGCTTAATTTTGATGCTGGGTGTATATTTCATAAAATGCATTTGATTTAAAAATAGTTGACTCGTAGACAGCTGTTGTCACCTAAGTATGTCAAATATGTGCACTCCTAGTCAGAAAATGACACCTAGCTCTTCAATGATTCTGCATAATGCGTCCTTCAGTTATATATGGAAAGGGATTGGGAAACAGTAATCTTTTCCTCATATTTAATTATTTTTTTAACTCCTGGTTTTAACCCTCTTACTTTAAGGCCGTTGATATTCTTCCCCTCCTCTTTGAACTGAGCCTTGCACTGGTATCGAGGGCATTTCTCAGTCTGGCAGTTTGAAGGTGCTGATACCTTTAGAATGTCCCAGCATGTCAATTCAAGACTTCCAGTGACATTTTTCTTAATGGTGGGCAGAGTTCTCTTGGTGAGAGCTTTTTGCTCAGTTCAGCTGAAAGCAAGGGAGCTCAAAAACCAGTAAGAGCTGGATGGACTCTCTCTGTGTCAGCTTAACATGGTGTTTAAAGCAAAATCATTTCAGAAAGAAATGCATGTGGTTCCAAACACTGTTTTCAGCTTTAAATAAAATAAAAGAAACATTTTTAAAAGCAGTGATTTCAAAGGGAAAGGTTCTTTATGAAGACATAGTTACAGCTTTCTTATTTCTGCTAAGCTTATAATGCAGGTATGTAAGTATTGACAAACCAACCTTAAGCCACAAGTAAGACTAGAGATGACCCAAAACATAGACAGTGGCACTGCCACCAGCTTGTCATTCTCTTGCCTCCACCACCACTTCTGGATCTAGGAATCCATTCTGACAAACACAGCAGGCTCACCCCCTGCTCTGTCAGCTGCTTTCATGCATTTATTTATTTATTTAGACCACACTTTGCTTTTTTATAATTCCAAAATCAGACATATACTGCTGATGTTATCTTAGAAGGTCAAGTGTGCATGAGAAGAGGCAAAGACCAGAATAAATAAAATGAAAGTTTAGAAGATATAGGCAAAAATTCTTTAAAATTCTTTAAAAGTTCCAATTGCCAGTAAAATGGCTGTTCATTAACTGTGACACTTTGTACAGAAATAAAATAGATCAAAATAGTTTCTAAGAGCTAACAATGAATGCTTTCTAAATGAACAGTGGAGAATTAAATCCGGAGAACAAATGAAAAAAAAATGTAGGAGAATGCGTTCCTATCAGGTACAAGATAATTAAAAATACTTTCACAAGACAGATAATTTACAGGTACAGTTCGACAAATGTTAACCAAGAGAAAAAAATGTTAACCAAGAGAAAAAAAATTCCCATTTACCACAGAAGCATACATCATTTCAAAATAATTTTTTTTTCTTTGTCTAAGGTAACCAAAAAAATGAGATTTCAAAGCAGCAGCTGGGTACGAGTGAGTTGTATATAGAAACAAGAATGTATAACATTTGAGGTGAAACTGTCTGGAAATGGCCCTAAAAATTTTAAAAGCATCTTTGTATTGGGAAAAAGCCCCCACAGCTGGAAGTTTTCTGATAAAGAACTTTTAAGGGCATTTCTATGAAAAGGGATCTTCCTTCCCACTTCTCAAAATTTGCATGAGGACATTGTGTTTTTCCTTTAACTCCAATTCTACTAAAAAGGCAGCCAGAGTAGATGCATTTCACTTTCTGAAATCCCTGGCTGTTCTTGTGGAGGGAAGCAAGACTCTCCAGTGAATTCTTACCTTGGCCTGGTGCTGGAATAGGAGTTAAGAGCAGGGGATGATGAGGTGCAGGGGGAAAGTGGCAGGTTACAGACACAAAGTGGGGGACACAGGGTGCCTCATCTTCTTGAGATCCTTCCAAGAGGAAGCCTGAAGGAGAATTTCTCCTGGAGAAGCCTGACATTCTGTGGTGTTTCACAAGACCAGCTATGCCTTTAAGTCTATCCACTCCTAGAGTTCAGGAGCTGTTACCCCTTTTCTTCTCAAGGGCTTTCATTAGGTCAGACATGAAATCTGCTTGTTTGCCTCCCCCTGCAATCAGAGGTGGCCCTGCTGACTGTGGCTCTCCATCCTGTCCTGTGTTTTCCAGCCTTTTTGGAGGAAGTGGTACAGGTTTCTTCATTGGAAGTGGTGGTGGCTTACTGGAGACAGGTGGAGGTGGAGGGGGTAATGGCACATCTCCATTACTGCTGCTGGAGACCGGTGGTGGTGGAGGCACAAAATCAGGAGGTGGTTCACAGAAATCGGATGGTGGTGGTGGAGGAGGAAAATCAACCTTCAGTGTAGGTGGTGGTGCTGGAAAGCTCTCTGGATCTGTTAGGAAAATGCCACTGTCTCGTTTCACTTTGGAGGGTAGAACCGGTGAAGCAGAAATAGATGAACGCCTTTCAGGTGGAGGAGGAGGCTGCAGTGAGGTCCTCTTACTCTGGACTTTCTGTGGCCTCAGCAATGGCTGTGCCAGGCCAGATGCACTGGTGTTATTTGTTTCAGCCTTTCATAAGCAGAAAAATAAAAGGACAGACACAGTCAGTAAACATGTAAACTAATGCCACTGCCAAAGAACATAAAAAGATAGGAAAATACATTAGTGTAGTAGACAGGGAAATCAGGTAGAGTACATTTTGCCTGAAACATGAAAAGAGTATTTTGTTTTCTTTCTGGAGCTGCCCGTAGAGGTTTGACAGTGGAAACCTCCCTGCTGGCAGTATTCATAGCACGTATATGCATGCTGTTCACAGAAGATGAGTGCTTTTAAAATTTCAAATAATTGCAGTTAGTAACATAAACATCAATGAAGTATCTTTGGGATTCATTGTCCTTGAGCCTAGAAGAAATGATCTTTGAATACTGACCACCTCTCTTGGACCCCTCTTCCCTTCAGAGCCTTCTCCCATGGGATTCTTCCAAGAAGATCCCTAAAGATGCTAAAGTTAGCTCTCCTGGAGTCCCTGTGTGAAGTCTTGCTCTCTGTCCTGCTACCTTCCTTCAATTCTGAACTCTACAGTCTTGTGGTCACTGCAGCCACAGCTGCCCCAACCGTCCCACGTCCAACAAGGCCTCCCCTGTTTGTAGCACAAGATAGGGCAGCCCAGCATTCCTTGTGGGATCCTTCGCCACCTGTGACTGGAAGCTGTCATCAATGCTTTCCAGGAACCTCCTGCACTGCTTGTGCTTTGCTGTTTTGCTTCTCCAGAGGATGTCAGGGTAGTTAAAGCCCCCCAAGAACCAGGGCCTGTGGCTGCAGGGCTGCTCCAGCTGCCTGTAGAAGGCCTCATCCAACCCCTCCTTCATCAGGCGGCCTGGAGCAAACACCCACAATGGAGTCACCCTTACTAGTCTGCCCTTTTATCCTCATCAGGGAACTCCAAGTGTTGCTTCACATGGAGGGCAACTCCACCACTGCACCTTCCTGGTCTGTGTCTCCTAAACAGCCTGTGGCCCTTCATGACAACATTGCAGCCATGGGAACTATCCTGCCATGTCCATAATTGCAATGAGATCGAAGCCCAGTGGCTGCAGACAGATCTCTAGTTCCTCCTATTTGCTGCTTCTAGAGAGAAGTGCTCTGCACCCCTGCAGCAGCATTAATTCTAGCATGAGCTAATTATAGCATGTATGCCTCCTCTTCCTCACTCCTTGCCTACAAACATGGAAGTAAATGAGACTCAGGAGGAGGGAACCAGTGGCTGAATTCTCAGAATGTGATCTGGTCCAGAGGAAGTAAGGTTCAGAACAGAGAAACAGGAGGAACTCAAAAACGGAAACAAGAAGCGTAGAACACGTACTGCTGGTGACAGAAAAATCCTAGGAATTTAATTTCATTAGTCCTGTGCACTTCATACATGATGAAGAGATTGAATAATGAACTGTAAACAAATGCACACCTTTTTTCTGTATGATGCTCTTGAGGTTCTTTTACTGTACCCTTTGATATTTTTACAGCCAGATTTGGTGCAAGTACATGAAATTTGGAGCTTAACAAGAAATGCATTTAGAGCCTAAGGAAAACATGTGTTTTCCCTTAGTTCTTCACAGTTTCTCCTTTCTTACACACTCATCTTCAGCTGTGTAGTGTTCCCCACTGAAAACACTACTGTATGTCTTGTGTTTCTAAGTCAAGACCTTGTTTTTTGGCAGAGGCAGAACACAGCACCAAGGTTCTAGCAGCACACTTTGAGACTATCCCAGCAGGCACATTCCTGTTCCTGCTACATGAACTCATGGCTGCTTGTTCTGAAGAACAGAAGCAGTGGGTGGCTGTGCCTTCACCTCCCTCGGAGGCTCCTGGTTCTGTAAGCACACACACTGTTTAGAGTGTGTGGAGCAGCCACCTTTCCCAGGAGCCAAATCCTTCTCATTGGCACTTTGAGGGGGAAGACAGTAGGTGAAGGAAAACAAACTTGGAAAACTCGTTCACAGATGACATTTAATTGTAGTAACTGCTCACTTGTGCCTCAGATGTATCCACTTTCTTCTGAGTGTCTGGAAATTCTGCACTGCAACAATGAACACTTTGGGGAATCTGTCCATTTGACTGAACAGTACCTGTGACAAGGAGAGGAGTCAGAGGGAAGAGTGTTAGGATTTTGTGATATTAACCAGATCAGGGAATACCCAACTATAAAAATTTCTTTACAACTCCCACAAGGAAACACTTGTTACAGAGTTTTTATACATAACTCAGTAAATTCTGTTTTCTACTTCAAGCTCATTTTGTGACCTTTCTTATTCAGTTTTATTGCTTAAGGAAAATAAAGTACTTTACATTAAAATCCCTAAGCACCTTACATTAAAATACCTGTGTTTCATAACAGCACTTTGAAGTTTGCAGTGTGCTGTAGTATTACCATATTCCCAGTTTTATTGCCTTTTTTTTGTGTTTAATTTAGGCTAAAGACTAAAAGCACCATAGCTTCATATCAATCAGTCATTGGAGTGGAAGGTCCGAAATCCTAAAGAGGGGCTGATCTACTTTCTTTAGTAAATGAGCTAAAACATGTTCCTTGGTCTGAAAAATCTGCCCCATTTGGAATCACAAATACCTGTGAACTTCACTATGTTCTCAGATTAGTGTGGATCTGGAAGCTGGCTGAGTTGAAGCTCTGCAAAACATCTGCCCACCATTTCTGCTTGTGCAAGGGATATGCATAAATAACCCAGTACTGTCAAATGGAGTAAGTGAATGTAAGACCAAAGAACAAATTTACAAGTTTAATTATAAAAAAATCCCCTGTCCCTGTGTAGTCTGATGAGGATTAAATACTCTCCAGTTTAGTGCAGCATTTTTGAAAGCTTTATGTGTCAGAGTAGTAGACAGTGTTTGGTGCCTAGAGACCCACATTTGCAAACCTTAATGACTACCTTAGCTCTATTATAATTTACAGTTCTGAGATCCAGTAAAGTTCCACTCCTGTACTTCCCAGATGTTAGTGAACCCTTAGCTGTCTACAGGGTAGCCTAAGCACAACAATGGCTTTAATCTTAACACGTACTTTACTGATCAGCAAAGAGGTTCCAGGAATATGATAAGAAATAGAATAAAGTATTTTTACTGCCATGCCTGCAAATCCCATGACTGGCAGAGAAGTAAGACAAACTCTGCAGTGTGCCTAATTTACTAAAGCTATTTAAGCTTCAAAGAATGACAGAAGGTGGTCTAATATCCTTAGGTTTTGTACCTTTGCCTGCATGTTGTTCAGTATATTTAATCCAAAGTACCATTTGGATCATTCAAACTACAATCTTGTGTTGAAAGACTAACATAGAAGTCAATAAAGAGATAAAACCAATCTTGTGGTTCTCCCTCCTCAGTGGAAGGAGATGTCAATCCCTGGGTTCTGTGGCCCAGAGAGGTTATGCTCCCTAAATTGGAGCAAGTTACTGTCTCATCTCCCTTTGTCTGCTGTTCATAGCAGAGCAGGAGTTTGGTTTTCACACTGCTCAAAGATGTTGCTGCCCTCAGTCATACTGAGATTTAACTAAATGAAGGAAAGCAGAGAGAGATCCACTCTATCTAGCGCAGGTATGGTGTTCTACTTGGCAAAAATAATGTAACAGAAGGCTGGGACACAGTAATCTGTTTCCTCTTCTGTTAATGGATTCCATAAACTGTGCAAAATTTGAAAACAACACTTGATACACTATCTCCTGCCAGCCAGCTAATGGACTCCCAGACAATATAGTATATGAGCCCATGAATTCTATTCTCAAGATTTATTTTTAATTTAAATGTTACAGTATTCTTTACAAGTTAATTTCTTCAAAATGTTATAGTGAATTAGCATTTTAGAAAAAAAAAGGTAGTCCAAATAATGCAAAATATAGATACACAAATGCAAAATATTTATCCTTATAGTGATAAGCAACACCTGTGTAAAGCAACATCTTATGTCTTTCAAAGATCATGATATTGTGATGCAATATCATACAGGACCACTACATACACTGATTTTTTCAGTGTTCAAAGGCAACCAGGCACAAAGCCAAAGAGGGAAACAACATGTTCTGACTGAGGTGCAGCTGGGACACTTCAGCCACAGGCTACACAGGTTGGGGTACATGTGACCCCCAGTGCTGGTTACAGCATTGTGTCCAGGGAATAAAGGCTACATGGTAAGTGAGAATCAAAGTTTTACCTGCCTTCCTTGGCTGCCACTGAAGTTAACAGAGCACAGCCAGATCACACAGGACTGTAGTTTTCTCTAGCAGATTTTAGCCTATACTGAAGCCAGCCCATACAAATGGCTATGGAGCCATCTGAAAACAGAAGTGAACACCCTTTGTTCCTTTTCCAAAACACAAACTAACAACTGCTCACAGTCAGGTAGTTCTAGTAGCATAGTCAGGCCTCAGGCTTTATATAGGGCAGCTATAACAACTGTAAGATACCCAGAATCACAGTGACTTGCCTCATTTACAACACTAATGATTCTTCAGAGATAATTCCATAGAGACAGTATACATGACTAAAACCTTTCCAGGCTACTTAACCATTTAACGCAATCCATTAGTTAAAATTAGCAGTATATTCTATTGAACACATGCAGAGCTCCTGGATTCTAGTCAGGAGCTGAAGTCACAGAGATGTATATACAGCCTTTATAGGGCCTCAGTCCTGCCCATATCCAGGACAGCACCAGCATGGAGCCCCCCTGGCCAGCCACATCTCTACTGCTGTCAGCACCTGAGCACAAATGTTCCATGACTGTCAAACCCACCCTCACTCAAGTAAACTTCCTCCTGTCAAGGGCTGATGCTAGCCAGATGCCAGGCACCTACAAAAGCTGCTCGCTCACTCCTCTCTGCAGTTGAGGAGAGAAATTTAACAAACAATTTGTGGGTTCAGATAAGAAGTGGGAGAGATCACTTACTAAATACCATCAAGGGCAAAACAGGCACAACTTAGAGATACAAAGTGAATTTATTGCTAACAGAATGAGAGCAGGATAATGAGTAGTAAAACAAGCCCTTAAAAACACCTTCCCCCATCAGAAACCTCCCTGATCTCAAAACAGTCTGTTACTGGGTTTCCCCATGCCACACCAGGCACAAAGCCAAAGAGGGAAACAACATGTTCTGACTGAGGTGCAGCTGGGACACTTCAGCCACAGGCTACACAGGTTGGGGTACATGTGACCCCCAGTGCTGGTTACAGCACTGTGTCCAGGGAATAAAGGCTACATGGTAAGTGAGAATCAAAGTTTTACCTGCCTTCCTTGGCTGCCACTGAAGTTAACAGAGCACAGCCAGATCACACAGGACTGTAGTTTTCTCTAGCAGATTTTAGCCTATACTGAAGCCAGCCCATACAAATGGCTATGGAGCCATCTGAAAACAGAAGTGAACATCCTTTGTTCCTTTTCCAAAACACAAACTAACAACTGCTCACAGTCAGGTAGTTCTAGTAGCATAGTCAGGCCTCAGGCTTTATATAGGGCAGCTATAACAACTGTAAGATACCCAGAATCACAGTGACTTGCCTCATTTACAACACTAATGATTCTTCAGAGATAATTCCATAGAGACAGTATACATGACTAAAACCTTTCCAGGCTACTTAACCATTTAACGCAATCCATTAGTTAAAATTAGCAGTATATTCTATTGAACACATGCAGAGCTCCTGGATTCTAGTCAGGAGCTGAAGTCACAGAGATGTATATACAGCCTTTATAGGGCCTCAGTCCTGCCCATATCCAGGACAGCACCAGCATGGAGCCCCCCTGGCCAGCCACATCTCTACTGCTGTCAGCACCTGAGCACAAATGTTCCATGACTGTCACACCCACCCTCATCAAGTAAACTTCCTCCTGTCAAGGGCTGATGCTGGCCGGATGCCAGGCACCCACAAAAGCTGCTTGCTCACTCCTCTCTGCAGCTGAACGGAGGAGAGAAATTTAACAAACAATTTGTGGGTTCAGATAAGAAGTGGGAGAGATCACTTACCAAATACCATCAAGGGCAAAACAGGCACAACTTAGAGATACAAAGTGAATTTATTGCTAACAAAATCAGAGCAGGATAATGTGTAGTAAAACAAGCCCTTGAAAACACCTTCCCCCATCAGAAACCTTCCTGATCTCAAAACAGTCTGTTACTGGGTCTCCCCATGCCACACATGTCTTTGTTAAGATTATTTGACTCCAAGGAATAGTAGGAAGACCACCTTCTATCTCCCAGGTACTCAAAAAAGATGAACTGAACTGAAGCCCTAGAAAGGTATTTGTGTTGTCTACATGAGAAGTCAGAGTATCAACTTCCAACAGCAATTTTGACTTCACCGGCCTTATGACAGTAAGTACTTGGCCAGCATACCCTTCCTAATAAGGCATATCTTAAGCATGTAAATTAAAAATAGTCATGCAAGTTACAGCTACTATCATGTACTGCTGTACTGGTCTCATTAGATCAGTAACATCAGGATGATGGAGCTTCTGGAAAAGTAAGGTTAGAAAATAATGCAGTCCTTTCTTACTCTTGTGTCCTAACACCCACATTGTTACCATGCAAATGAGTAAAAGGCTAGGACAGAGAGCCATCTATAGAAAGGCTCACCCTTTCTATAATGATTTCTAATCTTTTCTAATCTTTCCATAATGATCAATCTCAGAATATCCCACCCACTCCTTTTATTAATTGAAAGACAAACTCCAATACAGCCAGTGTAGAGATGGGCAAATAGAAAGTTTCAAGACATGGACCATCAGTCTGCAAAATGTAGATGGAGGACAAAGGATTCAGATGCCAACAGAAAAATGGTTCATTAACTTGTGCAGATCTAAACTGTTCTTCAGTGAACTGTTTGTATTCTCCAAGTTCTAACTGTAAAGTGAGAGCTTTTTTGCTACACTGGCCTGTCTATTAAAAGACATCTTGCTGAATCATGGGATAGTTTTCTGGAGAAAGACTCCATGCAACACTGATGATAACAGAAAGGGGCAATAAATGTGATTTCCACTGCTGTGGCAGTGTCAGTACCTGCTGATGAGGATCCTGCAGGGCCAGCTGGCTCCACCACTTTTTGATTTGCCCACCGAGAGGACAGGCCAGCTTTCTTCACTGCACATTTGTAATTGTCATAGAGTGTCTTGCCATACTGCAAAAGAACCAAAACAATAACATGAGCTTAACATAGGCCAAGCATTCATTCTGTTCTTGGACAACTTTTCTGACCTTGTTTCTTCCTACCTAGTTTGTTAAAATGTCTTTCTAGAAGTAGTGTGCCTTTTTCTGTGTAGGGCCAGGTGGAAAGCACAATAAAACATGAATCCTCATGATCACACAGTCCTACTGATATCATTCTTACATTTCATGTTCATTTCAGTATCTGTGAACTTCTTGAAACCTGCTTTAAAATCAACTGTTCTCAGTATCTTTTCCCAAGTATTACATTTTCAAACTGGACATTTGAAACACTGAATCCCAGGCTCTAGAGCAAACAGAGCCTGGAATTCTAGAGCTCTGTCAGTGTAAGACACAATATAATTTTATGTTCATCCCACACCTTTGTTATATGCTACCCTGCAGAAGAACTGTCAGGAAAAATCCCAAACTAACAGATAAGAGGAGTAGGTGCGTATGGAAAAATACAGCCAATACCAAGGCTATGTATAAATAATCTACCTTAATGTAGATGGAAAATGGGCTGTCAATTAGGACATTTTGAACAGAGTGAGGCAGACAATTTGGGTAGGACTGTCTGAAAAATGTCACAACTGGACTGACCAGAGCTTGCACACTTTAGCTACAGTATATTGTTATTGAGCCAGATAACTGTGCAGTAGTTTTTATGAGTATATGAGTTTTATAGCTACTGAACTCACTCCTGTGTTAATAAGAAAAACATACTGATAGCTAAGGTACAGGGACATTCAGCAAATCCATCCTCATTATGCACTTCTGATCTTTGTTTCTGTGGTAAAATTAGCATGGATGTCCATTCTTATCACAGTTTTTCCAGCTGAGGTGATGACAGTCAGTAACCTCAGGAAGACCTGCTCTTACAGAAGATATATTAAAGTGCATTTACTTTTAATCTCACCTTGGCAATTCTTATTCCTGTTACCCACTGATGCAGGGTTGCTTTATCATCACAGCACAAGTACTTGATATAGTTCGACTCCTTTTGAATCTGGGGGTGCTGAAAGATATTAATTTGTAAAATAAGACAAACACAGAAATGAAATCATTATGAGAAAGTCTGAAGGAACCACACAATGACCCTGTGAAAGCATATCATGAAGATGATTTGAAAAAACAAAAGGCAGCAAAACCAGAGTATAAAAAATATAAAAATTATGGTGATTATGAACAATACATGTGTTGCCACTGGCAGCTTTTGCTTGAAACCATTTTAATGCATTGCAATGTGAATTCAAGGGTTTCAGAAATATAACAGTGATCTAGAGTTCAATGAAATCTATAATTGCTCTGGTTCAAGGTCTAACACTCAACGTACAAACACTAGAAGGAAGTCTGTTTCTCATTTTGTGGTTTGTCATACGTGAGGCACTTAGACTGAACATTGAACATAATTAGTTTTCAAAGACTATGTTAAATTTGTTTAAGTATAAACTTTCAGCTCAAGCATATTTTTCCTCCTAACTGACTGCTTTTCTTTGGGCTCAAGTCTAGCTTTTTTTCTTATATATTTTTATTCTTCTTTACTCTTGCTGGTTTTGCAGAAAATATATATAAAACTGTTACACGTTTTGGATAGAGAATCATTCAAAATCCAGCACAATCAGAAGTATTATTTTTCTTTTGTTTGTATCAGAAACCTCTAAAATTTTAAAACCTTTTTTTTTCATTTTGGACAAAATTTAGGATCTCTTTCCTTTACCGATCAAGTTAGTATGGATATGTGTTGACATATCTTTGCAACTCAAAGACCATCAAAATGCCAGACTTCCTATTTGCCTAGGACTGAACAGACTCTGAAGGAATGTGGTTTCCCTGCTAAAGCAGGGAAAGATCTAAGTCTTTAGTAACATGGATGGAATAACATACTGCCATCTTTTGATATGCAAAGGAAAGAATGGACCCAAAGGAAAACCACTTAATTATCCCTTATTTATGTGTTCATTTCTATCTATATTCTTAAAAATTTTAAGTGCACTGTTAGTGAAATATTGTGAACGCACAAAAAGTAGCTAAATATGCTCCAAGGATTCACTCTCTTTTCATTCTCTGCAGTTAAAAATTCAAAGCACATCCCCACCTAGCAAGGACGCTGGGTTTAGAGGTGTCATTAAGCCCCAAAGCAGAGCAATGCTGCACATGGGGAACTCAGCAAGGTCCCTCCCAGCACAAAGTACTGCCAGCCTCTGGCTCATGTAGGTGCCACATCCTCACAAATATCTGCTGCTGGCTGGGACGTCCTGCTGCAGAGGCCAAACCTGCCCACAGCTGGGTGACCCAAAAGCAGAGCCAAACACAGCAGACTTGCTCCTCAGCCACGTGTCTCTTGCTCCCTGATCAGCACTGCAGACACCAGGCTCCCCTTGCTTGTGCTGACCCAGCTGCTCAGGAGGCCACATTGTGATTTAAAAAAACAAAAACGGAACTGGTCTGGGTTAAATATAACCCATTTCATCATGCTGTAGTTTTGGTTTATTTGTTTTCAAACCCAGCAGTCCACAACATGAGCTCACACAGAGCAAGGGAATAAGGAACATTGTGGCTTGGAGAGAGAATGAGTAGCAAGGGATGGATGAGAGGATAGGACTGCACAAGCTATAGTTGTCAAATCCCTGTATCATCAATTCTGGAGTGAGAGGGACCACACCATGGAGATAACTGTGAGGGAAGAAAAAAGCAAAGGGACATTACCCTTAAGAGGTCTCATAGTGACAGATGCATCCCAAGGCTGTGGGCAGCCATGTTACAAGTCCCTGCATGTTTGCACTCACCTGCTCACACAGGTCCCAGTCTTTCTGCAAACACAGAACTGGCCATCTCCCCTGGACAATGAATATGCTGACTCTACTTCTGCCTTATTCAATCACCTTCCTCTGGGGCACTCCCAGGTTAAGAGCAAGGGACAGCTCCCACTGCAAGCCCAGAGATGCCAGCTCACTGTCACCATGTGCCTTAACTGCAAAGCAGGGGCCATGCCCACCTCATGGACCCTCACCCACCTGGTACACTCACACATCACTCCTTCACACAGCTCAATGTACAGGGCATTGTTTTTATACACCTCTGCCATGTATCAAACCAGGACAGTAACCAGGCCCCTGGACAAACAGCCTGCTCCAGCTCCCAGCATCTGCCTGTCCTTGTCTCCACAGCCCCAGAGCCTGAATGCTGCTCAGAGTAGCCTCTTCTGGCACAGATCTGTCTAGGACACAATGCCCAAAAATCCTTGCTTCCTTCCACTGTTTCTCCATTAGGTGACCAAACACAGTGAAAATCAGAGAATTCAGCCTGAACGGTACCTTTAAAAAGGAACTGTAAGCAGACACTTTTTTGTGTGCCAGAGTACATCCCATATACCTGGGTTATGTTATCACCAATGGAGACAAAAGAACCAGGATGTGCAAAGACTCTGCAACCTCCGTAAAGTCAGTTCTTCAGGCACCTCTCAACCAGCAACTAGCATTTTTGATTCAGTGTGTAAGGTCCTACTGAACCCAGCAGATGGCACCCAAACCTTAAAAAAAGGAAATAAAGGGAGCTCTTCCTTCCCCTTTTTTATGGCAAGAAATTCATTGCATCTACGTAATCTCCCTCATTTTTAAACACCACACCTACCAGTGTGTGTTTTTATTACAAGCAAAAATAGAAGACTTCCATAAAATGGCTCATGCAAACATCTGTAAGAATGTCCACACCACATAACAAGGAGGTCAAGGCATAGAGCAAGCTAGGTAATGGTGCTGCACATACACACAGCCCTGCCACGGGGATCTGCTTCTGGGGTGCTCAAGAGAGGCTGCTGCAGACCTCTCCTCTGGGGCACCCTATGGAAATACCAGCTTCACAAGAACACCTGTACAGTGTCAGATCAAAGGTCCCTGAACGCAGCACCTGGATTCTGAAAGTGGCCAGAACTGGGGCAAAAGGAAGTACAAGATAAGCATATCCTTCTCTTAGCTCTCTGCCTACAATGATTTTCAGCGGTTTTCCGAGACTCATGGGGTTTCTCCATAAATCCACTTCTCTTCCAGGTACTTCTTCAGGTTTTATTGAGCACAAAGAGATTCTGGCATCCACAACACCTTTTAGCAACAACTTTTACAAGTCTGTCACGCACTCTATGAAGCACCACCTCCTTCTCTGAACCTGACTGCACTAGCTCTGTGTAACATTCTTGTTTTGGAAGAGATGCTGAGTGTCTGACCCCTAGCCACACCTTTCCATGCCACTCCTGAGCCTAGAGATCCTCATCATACTTGTAGCAAGCTGTCTCTCCTTTTTAGCCTACGGGCTTCTAGTCTCTTCAGTCATTCTTCAAGTCAAATAATTCCTTATCTTTGCTTATCCTTGTTAGTCCTGATTGATACTTTTAAAAGTTCATTATATATTCTCTTTGACATGAGAGGATCAGAACTGCACAGGCTAACAGAAACCATGAACTTGTGCCATGGTAAGGCAACATTTGCTGTTTTATCATCTATGTCTTTCCTAATAATTCTTAATGCTTGATTTATGTATCTGACAACTACTGAGCACTGAACCTCAGCCTCACAATGGCCTTCCAGAATTCCTCAGTCTGCCCTTTCCTCAATGATGTGAATAATATAATATCATCAGCAAATTTCCTCACCTCACTCCTTACCTTGCCTATGAATATTTTCAGACTGTGGGGGGGGGTCTCACAATCCTGAGAGGCTGAGGGGGAATTGTCAGTGAACAAGGTGACAGTGTCCCTTACTGGATAACATGTGAGTTACTTACTGGCTACCCTTTACCCTGTCATTTGCTGGCTATTGTCTCCACCAGGCAATCCATCTCAACTACTGATATTCACCAGTGGGACCTATTCCAAATTGCCCCAATCATTTCCTTGATTAAATTACTCCAATCAGCAACCGTGATTAAGTGCACAGTCACAAATATATGCTGTCAATTAGGGTCCAAACTGGCAGGCTGCTGAACCCCCAGCTCTGAGAAGGAAGGTCAGACACCTCAGAGCCATGCAGGCACCCTGTATAATCCCTTTGTTACAGCTGAGAACTGTATTGTCTCTCAGTTTCCAAGAAGCAGCAGCAGCACAGGCTCTTTTTACATGTAACTTTCTGAATGACACATAAAGCTTAACTCATTACTGGATCCACAGCCCACTGAGGTCAACTGGAAATATCCCCTTCACCTCACAAGAGCTTGGATCAGGCCTAAGGAGGACTGTTCCAGGCTGCCAGTACAGAGGCTGCCTACAGCAGCTGTTGGCAAGGCCAGATCACAGGAACAAACAGCAGCAGCACCAAGCTTAGCCCTGCAGCTTGCTACCCATACAAGATTATTAGTAACTGACTCAGATGGAGACATTTGCCTTCCTGTAATTTTTAGATACATGAAGCATGCCACTTTCGGTAGGAAGGTAAAATGTTTCAGCTGAGAATTGTCACAGCCCACCCACCCCACCATTTGCTCACTTGGAGGAACTGTATCATAGTGGAATTGCTTCAGCAGTACAGTGGCAGAAGTCTTGGCTCTCAATGCTGACCTTCACAAGCTCAATTTTCCACTTGAAACTTCACATAAAATCTACTACATAGTGCATAAAAAAGGTGACTCAGAATAAGCAATTTGAAGAAGAACCCAGGCAACTGGAACTACCTGGAAATGCTGACTTGATAAGAAGATCCCTAAATGATTCTATGATTCTGTGTGGACCAATTTCCTCCTTTCACAGCTCCTGTGTCTCAGGAGAGGGTTTAGTCCAGCACACAGATATAAGCAGCTGTAGTCACTATGCAAGTCTGGTTTTACTGTGAGACTAACAGAGGTCAACAACATCAATAACAGCTATGTGAGAAATACTGTACTTTAAGGCAAAAAACCACTAACCTCAGTATGCCACACCTCATACATAGACAGATAAATTATTTTGTTACAGGGTGCATATCATGTCTTGAAAAGATCATTAAAATCATCCGACAGCAAAGTGAAAACAACTTCTCTGGAAAGGTTTAG